ACTCGAGGCACATAAAAATGTTTAAAAAATTAAATATTTTTGGAGGTGGTAACCAAACGTATAAATAATTGCGCTAAACTACGCGAAGAACAAGTAGCACAAAATCGAGTGAAGGGGATTTGCTAGCTACATTTTATGAGAGCATCTTGGAGGGCAATAAAGACAAACTAAAAAAATAAATTATTATTTTTTTTTAAAAATTCAGAATCAGGATATATTTAAAAAAATCAAAAATAAAAAAACTATTCAAAATATCCAAGTTTGAATAGTAACTCGGTCTTAAAAAATATTATTTGAAAAATCCATGACTCAAATAGAACCTGAAGCCATCTAATACCCATCACGATCTTCACATATATTCTTCTTTAGAAATATTTCAAACAAATTCCTTAACCTCTTTTCCATTGTATATCCAAGTGTTTTGGATCCATTCTGAAAAAATATGTCATTGAACCCTAAATCCATAATGGAGAAAAAAGGAAATTTACGTATTTCAAAACGTTATAAAAATCTCTAAAATAAATGCATTATCTTTTAGTAATAATTTAAGTCAATTTTTATTAAAAACGGACTAATTAATTATATTAATTTTTTTACAAATTTTTATGGCTATATGTTTCAAAAGTGTTTCGAAAAATTCCAATATTGACTCAGCCACGATATGAAGGACAAAGGTTTCATACGTCTGATAGTTAATGTCCTGTGGAGACAAATTTTTTCGGTATTGGCTGATATTCAGCAAAGTCTACAGGAGTTGGATAAAAATAAACCAGTTATAATGTGGAGAATATAAATATAAATTTATTATAACTCTAATGACCATTACAAAATATATTCTGCAATATTCCGAAATTAAGGAGTTGATGATATATTGAAAAAATGTCCTAAAAACTGATTTAATGGTAATTGAAAAAAAAAATCTTGAAATTAATTCTTTACTTTATAAAATTTCAAAATTAGAATTGTTCTTTAAAAAAATTCCAAACAATAAATCTTATAATATATAAGAAAAAACTTTAAAAAAATTGGAAAATTTTAGGTTTGATCTCTTAAAAATATCCGTTCATAAAACTAGTTTTCATATTTTTAAAAAAATCTTGACCGGTTGAGGGTTCTCTAACTTATTTTTTGAGCTACCTACAAAAATCGATATCTTTGATATCCAAAATTTTGATATAACAAGTAAAAAAGCCGGCCGGGCCAAATTTTGAATACCTTCCATCATTTGGAACGAGTTCAAAAAAATAAAATCCGTTAACAATTCTATTAAAATCTTAAAAATACCAAATGTAGCCATAGGCAGCTTTTGTCATAAGCCATTAGAATATTCAAATGCGAATCTTGAAAAAAAGTTCGGTGAATAATGTCGCTAAAATCATCAAAATACCGAATATCGGGAGGTACCGTTATATGGGAAGACGTGTGCCTGCACAGATAATTTTTGTGTCATAGGCTGTAGTATCCATTACGAACTTCAAATACCAAATTTCCGGTAAATAATGTCGCATAAATCACAAAAATACCGAAAATAGGGAGGTACCATTATATGGGGGCTACACCAAAACGTGGACCTACAGTGGTGGCCATATCATATGCAACTGAAATCTAACCTTTACCAAAAACCGTGAAAAATTTTTCTGAAAACAAAATTATGCAATTATTTTTTTAAATATTATTTTTTATTGCTTGTAGTTTAAGAAAAAAACATATACTCCATAGATATTCAATTCATTTATAAAAAAAAAATTAGAAAAAGATATTCAGTCTTATTATGAAGTGGCCAAAACATATGCAACTAATTAAATCGAGCTCAGTAAAGTGCAAATAAAGTTAATATTTTGTTGCAAATCCGTTGTTGTCGATTACAGCCTGACATCTTCGAGGCATTGACGCTATAAGATTGTCAATGACGCTTTTTGGGATTGATTTCCAGGCATCTTCCAGCCGGCAAAATAAAACATCTAAATTTGTACAATTTTCTCGATCAATTTTTTTGTTTACGATTTCCCACAGATTCTCTATTGGGTTTAAATCTGGGGATTGGGGTGGCCATTCCATTACCGTAACTCTATTATCGGCAAACCACGATTTGACCACCTTCGAAGCGTGTTTGGGGTCGTTGTCCTGTTGAAAGACCCACCGCAATGGCATATTATATTCTGCGTATGGGAGCATTACCCTTTGCAATATGTCTTTATACATAAATCTATTCATAATACCAACAATTCTATGCAGTGGGCCAACTCCAGCACCAGAAAAACAACCCCACACCATTATATTGCCCCCTCCATGCTTGACCGTTTTTTTTCAGTAACGTGCTTCGAGTCGTTTTCCTTCTGGTGGCCTTACATAGCACATGCCATCGTTACCAATGATGTTAAATTTGGACTCATCACTAAATAATATAGTTCTCCATTTACTCTCTGTCCAATTTATATGAGCTTTAGCAAATTACAAACGCTTTTTCTGGTTTCGCTTCGATATCAGTGGTTTTTTGCAGGACGTCTTGCGCTGAGAGAGGCTTGTAAAAGTCTTCTACGGATGGTGCGAGCAGAAACTGGCAACTGAAATCTTTCCACTATCTTAGAGGAAGATATAAATGGACCTTTTTTCACGTGTCTGATTATTAATTTGTCCGTCCGATCGCTTGTTTTTCGACTTCGACCACCACGGTGTATAACAGAGACTTGTGATTTTTTTTTTGTAATTATTAATGATGCGCGATATGGAGCTTTTATGAACGGTATATTTCTCGGCAATACATTTCTGTGATAATCCAGAAGAATACGCAGTCACAATTCGTTGCCTGAGCTCAAATCCAAATTTATCGCGTGCCATTTTTGAACAAACTCTATTTTAGCTTTGTGAAAAAACAACGCAATAAAAATGTGAAGGTATCTTTAAATCTCTTTACGCAGTGTCTCTAGCTAATAATAAGAAGAACAATATAACAAAGGAAATTGTAAAAATGCCGTTATTTAAACCAAATATATAAAGTTGCATATGTTTTGACCACACCAAATTTCATATTTGTCAACAAAACACGTGTGAACATAGAGATATAAACAAAAGCTGCACATTTTGATAATAATTTGAAATCGTAAGAACGTATTGACTATAATTAACCCATCTTTATATACTTCGTTGTGAAATTTACAAATTTATATAGCCTTTTAACGAAGATGAATCTTAGTTGCATATGATATGGCCACCACTGTACATGGCCCATTTTCAATACCAAAGTTCCTGCAGACATAATATACATTTGAGTAAAATTTTATCAACCAACTTCATTTCGTTCGGAAGCTAGAGTGTTTTCCACAGACGGACGGACATTGCTAAATCGACATAGAATTTTATGCTGATCAAGAATATGTATACTTTGTGGGGTCTAAAATGTATATTTCGAGGTGTTACAAACGGAATGACAAATTTAATATACCCTCCATACTATGGTGGAGGGTATAAAAAAGAAGTTAAAGTTTAAAACATTGGCATCTATCGGTAGGTCTTAGCGATTACTTTAGATTTCGCCAGTAACTTACCGATAAAGTTCGTTAATTACCGAAATTATAAGTATTTTAATTTTACCGAATTTTGTAGATAACTTAAAAATTGAGTTAGAGAATTCCACCACTAATCCTTGAAAAATATTCTCTTAATAAATATTAAAAATATTTTAATTGTCTTTAAAAAGTTCGGAACTATAACCGGGATGATCCTTGAAAAGTATTCTTAATAAATAAACAATTATAGCTTCAAAGGGTATTTGAAAAAATTCTTGGGGATAGTCTGCAGTATTACTGGAATGACCTTTGAAATCCACGATTTTGACGGGATGGTCTTAAAAAGCCACGATTATAACTGGTATTTTTTAAAAACATTTGAAGAAAATCAAAAATTATGACAGGAATGGATTTTAAAAATGTCCATCAAAAATATTCTCTAACAAAATCACCGCTTTGACAAGGATGGCCTTCAAAAATTGTCCTTAAAACATATTTTTTAACAAATCCACAGTTTTCTTTGTCCTTGAAAGATATACACGACACAAATACACGATTTATACTGCCATGGCATTAAAAAATCCATAATTATGGTTGGTATTGTTTTTGGAAAATATACTTTAAAAATTCCAAAAATTTTGCTGGAATTGTCTACTTTTCATTAAAACATATTTTTCAAAAACATATTCAAAAAACTGATTTTACCCCTGAGAGACCATGAGAAAGTCCTCTACAAAAAAAAGAAATATTAAAAATATTTGAATTTTCTTTAAAAAATTCGCAACTATAACTGGAACGACCTTTAAAAACTATTCTTAAAAAAAACGATTATTAAAGTGTGTTTGAAAAAATTCTTCTGGATAGTCTCCAAAATTACTGGAAGTTCCTTTGAAAATTCCCCATAAAAATATTTTTTTTTCAATTATCCACGTTTTTGACTGGGATGGCTTTTGAAATTTTTTCTAAAAAATATTCTCTAACAAATCCATCGTTTGGCCTTCAAAAACAAACAAATACACGATTTTGTACCAGTCAAAATCGTCCTTTAAAAATTTCCCTTAAAAATATTCCTTAAACAAATGTATGATTTCGACTGAGATTGCGGTTATGGTTACAGCTTGTATTGTCTTTGTACATTTTTTTAGAATATCCAATATTCTCTAAAAAATCCTTTGAAAATTATCTTTTGAAGATCCAAAATATATCCCTGAGAGCCCTTTAGAAGGTCCTCCACAAATTTCTATACAGAATATGTTCTCAATTTTAATATTTATTGCCCTTTCCCTTCTCTCCCCTCCTCATTATTTCCTTTCCCTTTGTACAATTTTTTAGAAAATCCAATATTTTTTAAAAGCCTTTGAAAATTGACTTAAAAAGATCCACAATTATATCCATAAAATGCCCAATGCCCATAATATCCCAAAGTGTCATGTATCATATGTTCTCCTTTTTTATTATTTATCACCCCCTCTCACCCCTCCCTCGCCTATTTTTTTACACCGTTTCCACCTTCAAAACAATTTTCTCTTTCGACGACAGCACCAACATTTTCCTGGGATCGAAATGCAATTCCTTGGGCGTTGCAGGACAGCAGGAGAAACGATAACGTTGCAAAAGCATGGCCAATGACAATGTCAAGAGCATTTTAGCCAAACGCTCACCAATACAAATTCTTGGACCCAAACCAAAGGGCATATAGGCACAGGACGGAAATTTGCAGCCCAACTCCATATTGGCGTCAAAACGTTCTGGCCGAAAGAGATGTGGTTGAGGATAATACTGCGGATTATGATGTATTCCATAAATGGGTATCATAACTTTGGTGCCCAGAGGTATTTTGAGTGAACCTCTTTTGGTTGTTAAGCTGCATGGCTGGCGGCAAACTCGCACCGTGTAGGGAGCGGGAGGATGTAGACGAAGGGTTTCTGAAAGGAAAAAACAAAAACAATTAGTGAATGCATTTTTTAGTTTATAAGGAACATTTTGGAACTTCTCTAAGGCGTCTACACAATTTCTAAAGACATTTTTAGTTCCTCCGGAGACAAGTTAAATTTTTATAGAAAATTCTTATCTTCTTAGACCCCCTAAAGACATTTTGAATTCTTCCGGAGATAAGTTCAATTTTTATAGAAAATTCTTAATTTTTAAGACCCTCTAAAGACATTCTGAGTTCTTCCAGAGACAAATTAAATTAAAAAAATTAGACCCTCTATATTTTTATTATATCAAAATTTCAAACTCTTTTCTGGGCGCTAAAAATGTCTAAAATATATTTTCGAGACCCTCTGTGGGCTTTTCAAATTTCTATAGAACATTTGTGAGCCTTTCTAGGTTCTGTATATTTTCCTATAAAAATTGTAGAGCCTTCTATGGGGTCTATAAAAGGTGGCGCAAAAGTAATAACTGAATGAATAATTTGAGATCCTCTGTGGGCTCTTCAAACTCTGTAGTACATTTGTGAGCCTTTTTGGGTTCTGTATATTTTTCTATAAAAATTGTAGAGCCTTCCAAAAGTAATGAATCCTTATGTCCTTATTACAGCCAAAAAAACATCGGAATGTCTGTCAAGTACATAGGCACGTACAAGGAGAAGTAAACTTCCGATGTTTTTGGTTGTAATTAAGATATTAGGGGCCAATCGTATATATCTATAAAAACTTTTGGAGTCTACCGAGCTCTGAAAAATCTCAAAAAATTGTAAACCCCTTGCGTGGGGTCTACATAATTTCTATAGAATTTATAAACCTTCCTCGGAACTTTACAAATTTCTCTTAAAATTTTTGGAAAACCTTACCGTTAATAACTTGTTTCAAATACTGCATTTCCCGGATATTCTCATAGGTAAATTCATTTCCATGGTTTTTTAGGACTTCCTTTACATTCTCCCTTGCCTTTTCTTGAATTTCTGGATGCCTGGCCAATTCATACAGAACATATGTCAAGGTATTCGAAGAGGTTTCAAATCCAGCACCAAAAAATCCAAACACCTGGCCCACAATCAATTCCAGCGACAAAGCAAATTCCTGCTTAGACCTTTCGTCGTGTTGCTTAAGCTCTATCAAGGTATCCATTAAATCCTCACGCCTTATGCCATTCTTCTGACGATATTCAATAATGTTTGATACCAATTTCCGGAAAAATCCACTTATTTCGGGTTTAAATAATTTGATATTGAAAAAATTTTTCACAGCTCGATAATGGCCGGCAAGGCTATCTAAAATTGGATGCCATACATAATCGAAGATTTTTAGACCTTGTCGTCGGGCCTGGGAGTTGGGATCCTCGAGACTATTAAATTCAATTCCAAAGGCCACACTGCCCACCACATCAGTAGTGAAACGGGCACACAGATCATAAATGGCCAGCTCTCCATTTTCCTCCTCTTCCATTGTGGTTTTCACTTTGCTGGCAAAAAGCTCCGTCACCTTGAGCAGCGTAGGAAAAATGGCTTGCATTTTAGCCGGAGAAAATACCGGAGTTAATTTTTGCCTCAATGGCCGCCACCATTCATATTCCAGGCGTATTAGATTTGTATTCAATGGATCTCGATGGTTGGTGTAGAATCCTCGTTCAGGGAAATTCTCAAATTGTTTGATCATCACATCCTTTATTGACTCCATATCCTGTAGAATTAGAACAGTAAGAAAAGGGGATAAGGCAACTTTAAATGGTTCTTTTTCTTCATAAAGTTGTTGATAAATATCCCCCAATGCCACACCCATTTGCCGTTTGAGGACATTGGATATTAGGCGTATGAAACTTATATTTTTCACACCATGGCTACGCCAATAATTTAATTTTTGGAAATACTTTAAAATACTGCAACAAATGAATATTGAAATTAAAAGAAACCACATCGGATCTTTTTGGGGATTTTCTTTTGTTCGAGTCGTGGAGCTAATAAAGCTGAATAATTAATAATTGATTTTTTGTTTCTTAAAGACTTTATATATTGAATTAAAAAAGAAAACCAGCAATTGGGAATACAAGCTTCTCAAGGCAAATAAATGGAGTTACTTCTCTTTCCCTCCAAGAGGTTATTGACAATATTTCTGCACAACTTTTGACTAAAACAACTGATTATACAATGGGCCAGAACAATTAAGCTTTGTTGATTCTAGGCGATTTATTCGATTATTCCTTGTCGATCTTCTTTCAAACACCTTGGGACTCGTCCCTAATGACATTTCCAATTATCTCTTCTTTGGAAAAATTTGTTCCTGGTTTCAAGTTTTTGAATTGTTTTCCACAACTACTTACTTTATTTCTCCTTTCATTTGAAAAAGACACAGATTTTGCCCAAACTTCGATTTGGATGCCACCAACTGAGTATAGAAGGGGTCAGAACAAATTAGCTTTGTTGATTATATCGGAATTACTCGATTATTTATTGTCGATCCTTAAACACCTTGCGACTCGTCCCTAATGATATTTCCAATTATCTCTTCTTTGGAGATGTTTTTTTCCTGGTTTCAAGTTTTTGAATTGTTCCCAAAATCTTCTTTATTTCTTCTTTCATTTGAAAAAGACACAGATTTTGCCCAAACTTCGATTTGGATGCCACCAACTAAATAGAAGGGGTCAGAACAAATTAGCTTTTTTGATTCTAGGCAATTTAATCGATTATTCCTTGTCGATCTTCTTTCAAACACCTTGGGACTCGTCCCTAATGATTTTTTAAATTATCTCTTCTTTGGAGAATTTATTTCCTGGTTTCAAATTTTTGAATTGCTTCCAATAACTTCTTTATTTCTCCTGTCATTTGAAAAAGACACAGATTTTGCCCAAATTTCGATTTGGATGCCACTAACTGGGTATACAAGAGGTCAGAACAAATTAGCTTTTTTGATTCTATTCGATTTAATCGATTATTCCTTGTCGATCTTCTTTTAAACATTTCCAATTACCTCTTCTTTGGAGAAAACTTTTTCCTGGTTACAATTTTTCGAATTGTTCCCAACAACTTCTATATTTCTCCTTTGATTTAAAATAGACATAGATTTTGCTCCAACTTCGATTTAGATGTCACCTGTTACGCCAATCATCTGGTCTTTAATTATCTTTTGAATGCTTTCTTTGAATATCCGATAAGGGTATTTCTCCTTTCATTTGAAAAAGACACAGATTTTGCTCAAACTTCGACATGGATGCCACCATGTTATACCATTCATCTGCTCTTAAATTATCTTTTGAATCCTTCCTTTAAATATCCGATCAAGATTTAATTTAAATCCACATTTATCTATTTCTTTTATTATTCTTGTTTTCTTCTTAAAGAAATCCTTGATGAGAGCTATATTTAAAAAATGTTATATAAAAAATACGCTATATAAATATTGGACGTCATATTCAATACAATTTTGTTGCTTATATGGAAGAGGGGAAAAAAGGAATGTAATAATAAAACTATATCAAGAGGTATATATATAAATACATTTTGTGAGATATATAAAAAAGTTGTTATTCGTTGTCGCCATTTAAATATCCAGATGAAGAGCTGTGAGTTCAAGAGATTGTTAATCCAGTATTCTTTTTACAAAATTAGAAAGGCAGCAGATTTTGGAAGACGAATTATTTGCCCGATCCAAATTGCTCAATTTTCAACAGATCACAAGCGAATTTAAAGAATCTTTCACATTTATCAGCCTTCAGGACATGAGGATGTACGGCACCTTTGCGACAATTGCTCAAATAGAGGCCACCTTGACCTTCAATACGTGGCGAAATGGCGGCATAGACAGGGGTACGGGAACCTTGTTCGGGAGTTTTGAACAGCAACTTATTGAACCATGGTACAGCAGTGGTGGCAGAATGTTCAAAGAGATCAGTGTCCACAACACCGGGATGTACGGCCAACACCTGGACATGGGCATTCTCATCATCTAAGACCTTTTGCAAGTAACGTGTGCCAAGGATTTGACTTAATTTCGATTGGCTGTAGGCATCACCGGGGGAATAATATTTTCTAAAGAAAAAAAAAAAAAAAAAAAAACAAATTAAAATAATTTGAAATATTATTTCTTAATCGCAAAACTAAACCTACTCTCCATTAATATCCTTGTAGTTAATGCGTCCCACCAAATGGGCACAGGAGGAAACATTTACAATACGTGCCCGTTTCTCTTCCGTACCGGCAGCCTTCAACAAGGGCAAAAGTAAATGCTGCAACAAGAAGTGACCCAAAAAGTTTACAACAAAATGTGATTCATAGCCATCCTCGGTGATTTTGTAGGGAGCAAACATAATGCCAGCTAAAAGGGTTAGAATACAATTATTATTCAAATTTCGATTAACATTAAAAGATCTCTTACCATTATTAATGAGAATATCAATCTTCTCATATTTGCTTTTAATTTTCTGGGCAAAAGCTCTAACCGATTTCAGACTACCCACATCCAACTCTTCACAGAAAAGTTTGCCACCGGTTGTTTTTAAATCGACAATCTTTTCGATTGCTTCTTGGGCAGCTTTGGGATTGCGTACACCTGTAAGAGAATTACAAAAGAAAATCACATTTAAAGCATACTTTTAGGCATTAAACGAACATGATTTCATGGCCACATAATCTTTGATATGGATCTCTTATTTCGATTCAAAACATGTAATAAAACCACATCACGTCACAATCAAATGCAAATTATTTGAATATAACGTTGTGGTCACAATATTTGGCATCTAAAGCCGAAATCAAAACAATGGAAATAGGTCAAGTCAATAGTTTTTATGGACAGCGTTTGATGTTCATTTTTGCATGGAAAAAAGATGGCAAAACTTATATTTTTCTAGAGAAAAAGTATTCAATGATGATTTTGTTCGGAGGAAGATGTTTATCAATGATATGCTTAAATGGAAAAAATGGTCACCAATAACATTTTTGTATAGGAAAATTAACACCAATGACATTTTTATGTATAAATATTTTCACCAATGACAAAAAAAATCACCACTGAAACTTTTCTGTAGGAAAAATTTTCACCAATAACATTTTTCTAAGGAAAAATCTTCAATGAAGACATTGTTGTTGTAAAACCTGTGACCAATGACATTTTCCCATAGAAAAACTGTCACAAGTTTCTTCCATAGAATTTTTTCTGTAGAGAAATGATCGCCAATGAAATTTTCTATAGAAAAATTCTCACCAATGGCATTTTTCTTTAGAAAAATGTTCACCAATGGCATTTTTCTTTAGAACATTTTTCACCAATGGCATTTTTCTTTAGAAAAATTTTCACCAATGGCATTTTTCTTTAGAAAAATTTTCACCAATGGCATTTTTCTTTAGAAAATTTTTTTTTTTCACCAATGAAAGAAATGTTCACCAATGAAATTTTTCTATAGAAAAATGTTCACCAATGAAATTTTTCTATAGAAAAATGTTCACCAATGAAATTTTTCTATAGAAAAATGTTCACCACTGGTATTTATCTATAGAAAAATTATCACCAACGGTATTTTTCTATAGAAAAATTATGACCAACGGTATTTTTCTATGGAAAAATTTTCACCAATGATATTTTTCTACAGAAAAATGTTCACCAATGAAATTTTTCTATAGAAAAATGTTCACCTATAAAACTTTTTTATACAAAAATATTCACCAATGCACTTTTTCTACAGAAAAATTGTCACCAATCGCATTTTTCTATAGAAAAATTCTCACCAATCGCATTTGTCCTTTGAAAAATTGTAAACAATTATATTTTTCCATAGAAAAATTCTCACCAATCAGATTTTCCTATAGAAAAATGTTCTCCAATGAAAATTTTCTATAGAAAAGTGTTCACCAATGAAATTTTTCTGTAGAAAAATATTCACCAATAAAATTTTTCTACAGAAAAATGTCCACCAATGAAATTTTCCTTTAGAAAAATATTCACCAATGGAATTTTTCTACAGAAAAATTGTCACCAATGAAATTTTCCTATAGAAAATTTTTTACCAATGAGGTTTTTCTTTAGAAAAATGTTCACCAATGGCATTTTTCTATAGAAATAAACTCAGCAATGGTATTTTTCTTTGGCAAAATTTTCAGCAATGATATTTTTCTATGGAAAAATATTCACCAATGAGATTTTTCTATAGAAAAATGTTCACCAATGAAATTTTTCTACAGAAAAATTGTCACGAATATCTTGTTTTCCATACAAAAATTATCTCCAATGGCAATTTTCCAAAGAAAAATGTTAATTTTTTCATAAAAAAATTTTCCTCAATGCCATTTTTCTTTGTCAAAAAGAAACTTCAATAATATTTTCTTGTAAAAAATTGTAGACCAATCCAATTTTCCAAAATTAAAAATGATCACCAATCACATTTAAGTTTTTCCCCTACTTACCAACCACAACGGTCATATCACAGGCCAACAACTTCTCCACAATTCTCAGGCCAATACCACGATTGCCTCCGGTAATAACAGCAATGCGATTTGGTTGTTTATACAATTCTATACGAAAATCGAAAATATTAATTTTATATCAAAATAATGATAAATTCCAAATACCCACCAATTCTATCAACCGATCTATATTTGAAATCATCCATCAAACTGGTCATGCCAATATATTGATAGCGAAACTCTGTTTTCCATTCATACCAGGTCTTTGGCATTTCTTTGGTGGTCTTGGTGAACCAGAAGGCACAGGCCAACATCACAAAAAGTAGGGTGAATAGTATTAAGAACATTTTGGTGTGCTGATTACAATGTGAGGTAGATTATGGTGTTTGGTGAAGGGGGGTTTGTGATCTGAAAAAAAGGAGTAAACAAATTATTTAAAAATTGATTTAAAAATAAAAACTTAAAAAAAAAAAATAAAATACATTTATATTTATTTGTAGCTATGTAATATTTGCATATGGTCTTATAGGCCTTATGTTACATAAATCAAAACATATAAATATACCCATATTTGTTTACTTTAATACATCTACGTTGAATATTCTTCTATTGCGTAGCTCCCAAGAACAGCCAAGGTCAAGATTGTTAATCTAACAAAATAAAACAACAACAATAACATCATCATCATCGCATATTACATGGTTTGGCGATTTCACTTTTAATTTGTAAAGGTATACGCCAAAAAACCTACCAACCAAACTCTGTATATTTTTGTATTTTTTGTTCGGAACCACACACGCCTTTTTTTTCAATTCGTTTTAGATTTTCAGCCAAGATACCCCAAAACCCCCAATACAATGAAGGAGAATAATTTGCGCTTTAGGCTTTCAGTTTGGTAGATAAATATCAATATTGAACAAAGGTGAATATTTACTTGGGGGTTTCAAAGGCCTATAGAAAAAAACCCTCTTAACTGTTTTTTTTATTATCTGAGAATGAGAATTATTCAGAGCCTTAGAAAAAAGTAAATATCACTTTAGTATTTAAAAAAACCACCTAAAATGGAAATTTCAACATTTAAACACGTGAACGAATAAACTTTGTTTTCTTAACATTTTCGAAAAATAAAATGAAAATATTTACATTTTGTGCAGCGTTGTTTGAATGAAAGCTAACTTTAGCCGCCAAGTGCTGAGATCGAAATGCAATGCAAAAGTTTAATTTTAATCTTCATTTGCCGTAAAAATATTTTAAAATGTTTATGGGGAAATTTTGGGATTTTTTTTTTTTTTTGGTTTTTGTCGTGGCCACTTTCATTCTCTGTGCTAATGGGCTGAAATTAATTTTCATAATTAACCGAGATCAGCATTAATTCGGTTGACAGTACCAAGTCCAATAACTGTTTTATTTCTGAGCGGGCTGACCTAATTTCCCCTAGTCAGCCATAACAACAAATGTAAATTCCAAAAAAAAAAAATGCAACGTAAGTTTAAAACAAAGACATGACTAAGGTAAAAATGTTTTCATCTTGAAATTAATTGTTGTTTTAAGTGTGGTTTTTAAGATGTTACAGGTGACAATTACAATAAAAGTTAAGGCTCCATTCTGACTCATGTGATGGTAATTTGTTTTATTGTTTTCAGATCCAAAAAAAAAAAAACAACCAAAAAAACCTCGAGATCAATATCATGCCTAAAACGGAAATTAAAATTTAGTCGTAATAAATAAAAAACATCAAAAGATAATTACTTTAATTACCTCTAAACCATAACAGGTTGTTCAAAAAGATCTTACATGATGTAACCTTGATTTGGACCTCGGTTAACATTTTTCCATATGTCTTCGTCTTACATCGTCTTGCCAATGTTTTTGGTGGCATCTAAGTGAGAGAGAGGTCGTTAGCGTAACACTGCCATTAATTGCTGTTTGCTGTTGGGTGAAAGATTTTCAACTCACAAGTTCATTGGCTTATAACGTGAGTTTTGAGATACCAACAAGCAAAAGACTTTTAAACTAATAGCAACAAAAAAGCAGAAAATGTTTACAAAGAAAAAGGAACGCATAAAACAAATTATATCCACACAAAAGGGTGTAATGAAATTTGAATATTTAAAAAAGGGAATTTTTAAAAAAAATATATACAAAATTTAAAACACAACTAAAACAAGGTCTAATTTCTTGTTCTAAGAAAAATCATTTTCCTAAAATTTAAAGAAAGAAAAAAACCTCAAATCATTTCACCCCAATATCCACCTGAACAAATTTTTATTCAAATGAACAAATTAAACTTCAGTTTTTTTCCTACAACTTTTATACGGTTAGCATTTGTCATCGATCGATCACAGCGGTTCGATGCCAAACCACCATGAACAGTTTGGAGAAACTGCAATAAGCAAAAAGAAGCGAAAAAAAAAAACGCAAGCCCTCATCAACGTCAGCGTTTCATTAACTTATGTGGGCCAGAAATGAAATGCAGAGGTTCCGTTAAAGAAAGTCTTGAACAGTCAAACAAATAAACAAACAAAATTTAAATAAAAGCAAAACCTTGTTGAAGACGAAAAGAAAAATAAATGTTTACACTATTTAAAGCCGTATTAACAACAATGAAATTTGTTGACATAAACCAAATAAAGGGCAATGCATTATTTTGGATTTTTTGGGGCATCTTTTAGAGGGAAAAAGGCTTATCTTTTAAAAAAATATACATTTGGAGATCTTTCAGAACCCATAACAGTAGATTAAATTTACTGGCATTTTTGAAGTAGCAAGAGACCAAAAATCTCCATTTGTTAAGAATATTTGCATACCATCTGCCATCCGATGGAGTGTACCCATATTAAATTTGTCATTAATTTAAAACACATCCAAATATTCTTTAGAAACCCCATAAATTGTAAATATCCATGATCGTCTTAAAATTCTAAGTCGAAAGTCGTCTTTCTGTTGAAGTCATGATAGAGTTCGCCCTATCAAAGATAGATTTTGGACAGGCATTATTATTGTACCTCGGATCTTTGGTATTGAAAATGTATTATTATTGGTCCATATTTAGGTATAGCCCAGGATTGTCCATCAAGTTTTGTTTTAGGTCATTGAAGTATTCCAGATAATTAGGCGCCAGATGAATTGGCAAAACAGGAATCCAAATCAACTGACATGGAAGTTGGGAACTCGGTTGATCACCCTGAGCCACTTCTTTCGTGCGATACATGAACACTTTTCCAAGAGATTCAAACAAAACTGGTGGTTACACCCCCCTTGTAATGTTCCGAAGAACATTTGGCCAGTCTAAACCCTCACAAAAGTATTAAACTAAATCCTAAATAGCTCCCACATAGTGGTACCTCCTGATTTGCAATACTTCTGAAGGTTTTGTCCCCCAATTTTGCATTAAAACAGCTGGCATTTGGGTTGTCAATGGCTAGTCTAACTTCTCGCAAAAAGTATTCGTATGAGCTCACTTTTTGGTCTAGTCCCATAAAATGTTACCTCCCGATTTTCATTATTTTGAAGGTTTTGGCCCCCAATTTCGTTTCAATTCATTTTACATTTTGGTTCCTCAATGGCTAACTTAACTCCTCGCAAAAAGTAATCGATGTAAGTTCACTTTTTAGTCTATTCTCCATAAGTTTTTGGACCCCAATTTCGAATTAAATCAGGTGCCATTTGACATTTAGGGTCCTCAATGACTAGTCCAACTCCTCGCAAAAAGTAATCGATGTGAGTCCACTTTTTGGCCTGGTCTCCATATAATGGTTCCTCCAGATTTTCGGTATTTTGAAGGTTTTGACCCCCAATTATGTATATATTCAGCTGTCATTTGACATTTAGGGTCATCAATGACTAGTTTAACTCCTCGCAAAAAGTAATCGATGTAAGTCCACTTTTTAGTCCAGTCCCCATAAAATGGTACCCGATTTTTGGTATTTTGAAGGTTTTGTCCCCAAATTTCAAATTGAATCAATTGTCATTTAACATTTTGGGTCCTTAATGACTAGTTTAACTCCTCGCAAAAATTATTCGAAGTGAGTTCATTTTTTGGTCCAGTCTGATATTGCGGTACCTCCCGATTTTCGGAATTCTGAAGATTTTGAATATACCCCCTCCCCCCCAAATTTCGAATTGAATCACCTCTTATTTGACATTTTGGGTTATCTATGAATAGTTAACCTCCTCGCAAAAAATATGCAATGTATGTTAGCTTTTAGGTATGGCTTCCACGGAACGGTATCTCCTAATTTTCAGTTATTCAAAGCTTTTGGAATCAATTCAGGTAATCAAATCAGCTATAATTTGATATTTCAGGTTCGCACTGGATAGTTGATCTCCCCGCAAACCATATTCAATGTGTGTCAAATTTTGGGTCTTATCCCTATGAAACCGTACCCTCTTACTTTCGGTATTTTGAAACTTTTGGTTTCAAATTTCAAAACAAATCAGTTGACCATTTTAAATTCGCTGTCGATATCTTGACTCCTTGTTCGGTTCAGCATGACTTAACGTCGTATTTATCTGTAGAATTTTTCTAAGGAGCAATCTAGGCAAGAGAATTCTGAATATCAGCATTACTGCATAAAAGTTTTCACGAATTTTCAATGAATCATGTCTCAACATTCATATTTGCAAAACATCTTAAAAGTTACACATGAATTCCATTAATTTATTAAAGTGCCAAGTGACTTGCAAATTGTTAAAATAAATCTCATTAAATCACCTACTAACAACTGGTGCTGGCCGGACGGAATTTGATCAGAACGATTTTTTACGCCTTTTGCAAATAAGGAATGACCTTTTCTAACATCTACATTTTACTAAATGGGAATGCAATGTTGTCATCGTTATAGGTTTGATTTCAAAATCTCAGTAATAGATACCTATATGGTCAAAAGGAGGAGGTGGAAATGCATTAATCTAGTTTTAAAAATATTATTATTATGGAAGTCGTTTGGGTGATCCGGTCTGATCTGGGTTGTACTCAACCAAGGACGTGAAGCAATCTTGTTTCTTCTTGCAATTTGAAAATAATGTCCACCACAGTGTTGAGTACAAAAGTCCTTAGCCGTGTGAGCAGCATAAGCAACTAATGTTATATGTAGCTGACTCATGTTGCCAGGTCACCGCATAATTCTACAACATATTCCAAAGTCTAACAGCTATTTTTAATTTTGATAATCTTTAGATGATGGCTGGTTGATAAGCAGAATCAAAACCTCGGCAAAAAACAATGTTGTTTGGTACCTTCTATACCCCATGTTATGGAGATGCAAAGCTATTAGATGGCAAGAGATGAAACCGCATATTAATTATGTTTTCTATTTCAAAACACGAATTTAACAAACGATGGTAGGTTATTTTTTTCGAAAAATTCAAATCCAAAGACTTTAGATAACCGTCAAGCAAAAACAACATATATTGATTGAACCCAGCGAATGAACGTATCAGTAGAATGAATGTATTCAGCCATTAGTGTTTAACACCAACAACAACAACAAAACATAACTCACAACTAGCAACCGAAAAAAAGAAAAATTATATGCACACACAAACATGCTAACACACAGCAGAGCTCTTCCTCAACTTTCTTTTTCCCCCCAAATTTTACCATTTATTGTGTTTATTCGATAGCTTAGTTTTACTCATCACCATCATCATCAGAGCCAAAGCCAGCCAACACCATCGAAAACCCCCTACGTGATTTCTTTACTAATGAAGCCCAACCGGGTTAAGACCGACAAAGAAACAGAAGAATTGAAACGTTTGTCTTCTTTCTGTTTTTGGTTGGTGTTTGGCCGGTCAGACACATTCTTATGTTTGTCCCTTCAATAGGTTTCAATATTATTTTAATAATCAAACAGGTTGTAATAGAAATCGAACTCACCTTTATAACGGTCGGCGGTTATGTGATGATATGAGCAGTGCAGCACAGGTGGGAGGTGGGTGTTTGTAAAGATAAAAGCAACAGACACGTCCAGACATGCAAAAGTACACAAGCGCCTGCCTTCTAACAATGTTTTTAATTTAGTTTCTGGAACGTGGTATTATTTACTCTTTCGTTTCATTAACAACTTTGTAATAATTGTAAGTTCAACAATAACAACAATTAGGTGAAAATTATCCCACGAGCACGACGTTTTAAGCGCGCTTAAAACCACGTCCGAAGTCAACCAATAAAATCCAATAACTGAGTTAGGGATGTGTAAGTCGACTTTTGTTCTAAAAACCGATGGCAGCAACGACAATAACTATCGATAGCTAAATGTTATCGATATTTACAGGGAGGCAAAAGACACCGTAATTTCATATTTAATACCTCTTTAGTTGAATAAAATAACTAAATAAAACTAGATTATTAAATAAAAAATTAAGGAAAATATCCAAATACGCATTAGACACACTTCCTGATTACCATGAAATTCTAAATTGACACAATGATTTGAAAGTTACTCTTAAAAATTGACTTTTTACAGGCCTCATATGTACCTGTACCCATGGTACAATAATATCAAGGTAGGGCTATGATACCATATGATTTCAATTTTTTTATTTTCTTGGCTTAATATGTCATCTTTATTTGTTTATGTATGTGTTTTCTTTTCAATAACAAATAAATTGCTCAGAAAACATTCAAATTCGGATGTTTTCAAAATGTTTATTTCATCGTATGCATCGACAAAATCTGGAGTTTTTATAGCGAAATAATCCTTTAGAGATATATAGAACCTGGTTTTGAAAAGAAGTGTTGACCTTTAAATCAGTTTTCGCGGTTTTCAATTATTTATTCAAAATAAATGCAACAAGTTGTTTGATTTTGTTATTGTTTTGATACTATTTCTGACATTACAAGCCAAACAGGTAGACCTCTATACTTGCAATTTTTTCAAAGTTGATCTACCTTCTCTTCATTGTACCATGCCTGTACCTTCTCATTTTCGATGTTTTGAAGTTGACAGCATTAATTTCCTACAAAATGCTGGTAGGAAAAAAATTAAAAAAAAAAATGGATTTTTTTTTTAAATATTTTTTGAAGGACGAAACTTGAATTTTTTGAAAGAATATTTTTTGAAGGACGAAATGTGGATTTAAAAAAAAATATTCAAGGACTATATAAACTTAGATCTTTAAAAAAAAAAAAAAAAAAATATATATATATATATATATATATATATATATTTATATTTTTAAATATATATATATAAATATATATATATATATATATATATATATATATATATATATATATATATATATATATATTTATATTTTTAAATATATATATATAAATATATATATATATATATATATATATATATATATATATATATATATATATATATATATATATATATATATATATATATATATATATATATATTTATATATATATATTTAAAACTTATATAAACGTGGATTTTTTTTTAAAATAATTTTTTTTCAAAGATAATATAAACGCGAATCTTGAATTTTTTAAGGGGCTGTGGGAATGTGGATATTTAAAAAATAAATATTTTTTAAAAATTATATAAGCGTGGATTTTTTAAAAATCTTTTTCAAGGACGAAACGCGCATTTTTTAAAAAAATATTTTTTTCAAGGACGAAATGGGGTTTTTTAAAAAAATATATTTTTTAAGGACGAAATGTGGTTTAAAAAAAAAAAATATTCAAGGACTATATAAACGGTGATCGTTAAAAAATATATTTTTTTAAAACTTATATAAACGTGGATTTTTTTAAAAAATGTTTTTCTCAAGGACGAAACGTGCATTTAAAAAAATATTTTTTCAAGGACGAAATATGGATTTAAAAAAAATTATTCAAGGACTATATAAACGTGGATATTTAAAAAATATATATATTTTAAATCTTATATAAACGTGTTTTTTAAAAAATATATTTTTTCAAAGGACTATATAAACGTGAATCTTTAATTTTTTATGGACTGTGGAAACGTAGATATTTTAAAAATAAATGTTATCTTAAAAAATTATATAAACGTGGATTTTTTTAAAAATATTTTTTTAAGGACATAACGTGCATTTTTAAAGAAAAAAATATTTTTTCAAGGACCAAATGGGGATTTTTAAAAAAATGTATTCAAGCACTATGTAACGTGGATCTTTAAAAAATATATATTTTTTAATACTAACCGTGAACTATATAAACGTGAATCTTTAATTTTTTTATGGGCTGTGGAAACGTGGATCTTTAAAAAATATGTATATATATTTTTTAAATTATATAAACGTAGATTTTTTTAAAAATATTTTTTCAAAGACAAAAAAAGTGGATTTTTTAAAAAAATATTTTTTCAAGGATGAAAAATAAATTTTTATAAAAAAAAATCAAAGACAGTATAAACGTGGATTTTTATAAAAAAATTTGAAGGACTGTATAAACGTGGATCTTTAACAAAAAAAAAAAAAAAAAAAAAAAAAAGTTATGGACTGTGGAAACGTGGATCTTTAAGAAATATATATTTTTTAAAAATTATAAAAATGATTTTTTTTAAAAATATACCTTTTTCAAAACTGAAAAACAAATTTTGTTGGAGTTTTTTTTAAATATATTTTCAATGACTGTAGATTTGTGTTTTTTATATTTTCATGGTGGATTCTTTTAAAAACATATTTTTTTAAGTACTGTAGAAACTGAATTTTTTAAAATAATATTTTTTCAAGGACTGTAGAAACTGAATTAAAAAAATATTATTTTAGGGACTGCAGAAACGTGGATTTATTAAAAAATATTTTTCCAAAGATTATAAAAATTTGTATTTAAAAAAATCTGAAGACTTATAAAAAATAATTTCTTAAGGACTATAGAAACGAGGAATAATTAAACAAAATATTTTTGATTAATATAGAAAAGTGGAATTGAAAAAAAATATTTCTTTAAAATATAGAAACAAGAGTTTAAAAAAAAAAAATTAGAAATGTAGAAACACGGATTTAAAAAAGAATAAGGCTATACAAAATTGGATTTTAAAGAAAATTTTTTTTTTGAGAAATTTGGAAAAAATATTTTTTCACAGATTTTTAAAACATGTATTTTTTTTATTAATTTTTTTTATATTTTCATCAATTTTTTATATTTTTACGTCTAACATATTTTTTCATTAGTGAAAATGTTACTGGTCATATTTTTTTGTGTAAACGGCAACACAGTCATTCATAAATGAAGATATTACATTTCAAAGCATACTTTCAGGCGTTTGTGTGTTCACTACATCATTAGACGTTGCGATGGGAAGATTTGGTTGAAATATATTTAGAAATCAACATTTCCTTTATAAATTATGAGAAAATAGTGTTGCAAATATTCTCTGGCATACTTTAAGACAGTCCTTTTATGATATTAATTGATTAGAAATTAAGTTGAAGTAAAAACATAGGAGGGCAAAATAAATTTTTAAGAGAATTTTGAAATAACTTTCCTGCCTTGAATTTAAGCTTTTTTAGAGTTTTTCAACAAAAAGAAAATAAAAACTAGCTCAAAAATTATTTTACAGAAACAATTGTTTAAAATTATTCATATATGTCTTTTTTTTATGTCTTACTCATGACGGAGAATAAGGAACTCCAATGCTAGCGTGCTTACTTGCCCATCTATGATTAAAAATAATATACGTATTTTAATTTTAAAATACCAGCACTTTAAAAAAGACGTTCAGTTTTGCCTGTTGCTGTTTTACGATAAAAGAAAAACTCTCCCTCTCTCATAATGAGTTTGGTGATAAGCGTCCTCATAGTTTCCCTGTGGCAGCAGCTTCTGATAGCCATGCAATTCCATTCATATCCAAAACCCTTGGATTTGATTTCAGTTTTTAATTTAAAGTCGTGGAGATCGGTTCGTTTTTCAAGAAATAAAAAAAAGATCGCGGAGTGGAATATGGGTTTGAAAAAAATATTTTTAGTTTTGTGGACCATATCAATTGGGCTCCAAGAGGCTATGGCCGACTTCAAATACAATGTCAGTTTGGCCCAAATGGATACATGTCGTCACTATACGATACCCACAAATCGGGGTTATCATTATGCGGATTTTTTCCATTTGACCCATTTAAAGAACAACAAACTGGGTGACAATGAATTGTTGCATTTGAAATTCTACGTCATGGCGGCGCGGGATGCCCACATTTTGTTGGCGACCACAGATCATCCGCGTTTATCTGACAAGGTCTATGAAATCGGTGAGTGGTGCTGTGGAAATTCTAATCGACACTAACTTACTTTTGTTGTTTTTATGTTTTTGTTTTTTTTTTTTTCTCGTTACCCCCATCACCAGTCATTGGTGCCGGTCGCAATTCATTCTCAACGATACGCCTCAACATGGGACGTGGACGTGTTGCCACCAATCAGGATCCCAGTATTTTATCAATGCTCGATCCCACACCCATTGAAGTTATTCAGACGAAGGGTATGACCTTTTAGCAGAACAAAAACAAAACACACATGTCGAGCGATAAAAACACGGAATGAAATGCATTGTTTTTGTTTTTTTTGTTGTTTTTTTTTTTTTAGATGCCAATTTGTTGGTTTACATAACGGGTTTCAAAGACGAACCCTTGATGAATTTTACCGACACCTCACCATTGGCCGTTGAGTATCTAAGCTTCACAACCTATGACGGTGTACCGGCCAGTTGGTTCTATGATTGTCAATTTGATGGCTTTGCCAATGAACTGGAGGAGGAGGTGCGTGAGCAAACGCCACAGCAGCGGTTGGTGCAAAATATTACCGCCATGGCTGAGAATGGCTCATTTCCGGTTGATTTGAAAACAGTGGAATTTGATTTTGTTGTGGCGTCCGTAAGTTATCAGCATGATCGGGGAATGCTGCAGGCCAGACTGAATTTGAGAATGGTGAGTGAGGGAAAAATGAGCGAGAAAATGGAAATTCAGGGGTAGAAAAAATTAAAATCTTAAAAATTGATTTTTATACCCTCCGCCATGGTAAGGAGGGTATATTAAGTTTGTCATTCCGTTTGTAACACCTCGAAATATATATTTTAGACCCCATAAAGTATATATATTCTTGATCAGCATAAAATTCTATGTCGATTTAGCGATGTCCGTCCGCCTGTCAGTCTGTGGAAATCACTCTAGCTTCCGAACGAAATGAAGTAGATTGATAAAATTTTGCTCAAATGTATATTATGTCTGCAGGACTTTTGATATTGAAAATGGGCCATGTGGGTCCACGTCTTCGTATAGCCCCCATATAACGGTAACTTCCGATATTCGGTATTTTGATGATTATAGCGACATTCTTCGCCGAAATTGTTTCAAATTTGGTATTAGAAGTTCGTAACGGATACTACAGCTCAAGACGGAAATTTGTCTGTGCATGTGCACGTCTTCGTATAGACTCCATATAACGGTACCTCCCGATATTCGGTATTTTGAAGATTTTAGCGACATTATTCAATGAAACAATTCCAAATTTGGTATTTGAAGTTCGAAATAGATACTACAGCCTAAGACAGAAAATTTTCTGTGTTAGTCCACGTCTTCGTATAGCCCACATATAACAGTATCTCCCGATATTCGGTATTTTGATGATTTTAGCGACATTATTCACCGGAATTGTTTCAAATTTCGTATTTGAAGTTCGTAATGGATACTAGTATATTTTGAATATTGTTTTTAAATCCAAACAAAGGAATTAGGAATATTTTTCAAAAATTGTTTTTAATTCCTAATTATGTTTGGATCCTTTTTTCAAGGATCTCTGAGATTTGTATTTTTTTAAATATTTTTTTCCTGGACATTTAAAAACATTTTTTTAAGAAAGAGGATATTTTGAATATTTAAAAAATTGTTTTTAAATCCAAGTTGGTTTGGATCCTTTTTTTTAATGATTTTCGAAATTTGGGTTTTTTTAAATATTTTCTTCTGGTCAAATTAATTTTTTTTTTAAATGAGGATATTTTAAATATTTAAAAAAAAATGTTTTTTTTAAATTCAAACTGAGTTTGGATCCTTTTTTCAAGGACCTTTGAAATTTTGTTTTTTTTTTTAAATATTTTTTTCTGAACATTTTAAAATTAGTTTTTTAGGAATGAGGATGTTTTGAATATTTAAAAAAAATATTTTTCAATCCAAATTAAGTTTGAATCCTTTTCTCAAAGACCTTTGAAATTGGGATTTTTTAAAGTATTTTGTTTTTCTGGAAATTTTAATTATCATTTTTTAAGAATTAGATATTTTGAATATTTACAAGAAATTGTTTTTAATTCCAAATTAAGTTTGAATCCTTTTTTTCACGGAGCTTTGGGATTTGGATTTGTTTTAAATATTTTTTTGCTTGACATTTTGGAATTTTTTTTTTAAGAATGAGGATGTTTGGAATATTTTTTTTAAAAATTGTTTTTAAATCCAAATTAAGTTTGGATCCTTTTTTTCAAGGACCTTTGAAATTTGGATTTTTTTAAATATTTTTTTTCGGGTCACTTTGAAATATTTTTTTTATAAATTAGGAATATTTTTAAAAAATTGTTTTTAATTTCTAATTGTGTTTGGATCCTTTTTTCAAGGACCTATGAAATTTGGATTTTTTTAAATATTTTTTTCCTGGAAATTTTATAATTCATTTTTTATGAATGAGGATATTCTGAATATTTAAAAAATGTTCCTAAAGCCAAATTAAGATTAGATCCTTTTTTCAAGGACCTTTGCAATTTGGATTTTTTAAAAATTGTTTTCTCGAATATTTTAAAATTCTTATTCTTATTTTAAGAAGAATATTTTGAATATTTAAAAAAAATTAATACAAATTAAGTTTGGATACTATTTTCAAGGACCTTTGATATTTATATTTTTTCTAATGTTTTTTTTCTGGACATTTTAACATTATTTTTAAGAGAATATTTTAAATAATTTTAAAAAAAATATTTTTTAATCCAAATCAAATCTTGATCCTTTTTTCAAAGATATTTGAAATTTGGATTTTTTAAATGTTTTTTGGACATTTTAAAATTAATTTTCTATTGTGTAAATGTTACTTTGAATGTTTTTAAAAAATTATTTTTAATCCAAATTAAGTTTGGATCCTTTTTTCAAGGAACTTTTCAATTTGGATATTTTTTCTGGACATTTTAAAATATTTTTTTTTAAGAATGATGATATTTTGAATATTTAAAAAAATTGATTTTCAACCCAAATTAAGTTTAAAACCTTTTTTCAAGGAACTTTGAAATTCCTTTTTAAAGGACCTTTGAAATTTGGATTTTTTTTAAATATTTTTTTCTGGACATTTTAAAATTAATTTTTTTTTTAAGAAATTGTATATTTTGAATATTTAAAAAAATATTTTTCAATCCAAATTAAGTTTGGATCCTTTTTTCAAGGATTTCTGTAATTTGTATTTTTTAAAATATTTTTTCCTGGACATTTTAAACCTTTGTAAGAATGAGGATATTTTTTTTTGTTTAAATACGTTTTTAAATCCAAATTAAGTTTGAATCCTTTTTTCAAAGACCTTTAAAATTTGGTTTTTTCTGGACATTTTAAAATTATTTTTTTTGGAATGAAGATATTTTGAATATTTTTAATTTTTTTTTAAATCCAAAAATCCATTTTAAAGGACCTTTGAAATATGGATTTTTTTAAATTCTTTTTTTCCTGGACATTTTAAAATAATTTTTTTTTTGAATATTTTTAAAAAAAAAATATTTCAATCCAAATTAAGTTTGCATCCTTTTTTCAAGGAACTTTGTAATTTGGATTTTTTTTAATATTTTTCAGGACATTTTAAAATATTTTTTTAAGAATGAGGATATTTTTAATTAAAAAAAAACAAAATTGTTAAATTGTTTTTAAATCCAAATTAAGTTTGTATCCTTTTTTCAAGGACATTTGAGATTTGGATTTTTTTTTATTTTTTTTTAATTTAAAAAAAATATTTGTCAATCCAAATCCCTTTTCAAGGACCTTTGAAATTTTTTTTATATATTTTTCCTGGTCATTTTAAAATTATTTTTTTTTCGAAAGAGGATATTTTAAATATTTTTAAAAAAAATTTTTCAATACAAATTTTTTAATTTCAAATCCACTTCCAGAATTGGTTGGATTCCCGCATTATTTGGGACCCCAAGAATTTCGGCAACATAAATGCCATACAGCATGATGAGTATGAGATCTGGCTGCCCCATCTATTGGTTGTCAAGTGAGTAAGATATCCAATCCAATATCTCTCAAAAATCTAATCCAAATTCCCTCTTTCCCCCTCCACTCAGTGGTGTTTCGAATTCCAAATCCCTGCTGCAGGAGGAACATAAAATCAAAATTCGTCACAATGGCCAGGTGGGTGTGGAATTTTACAATGTCTTCATTAGTACCTGGTGCCCAAATCCCTATGAAAATTGGCCAAATGAAGAACTGACGTGTGACATTGTTTTTGGGCTGGATCAGGGACCTTTGGAGTCGTTGACTTTAAGCTACAATGGAACATGGTCACATCCTGTCATAAATTCCCTATCGGAATGGAGTTTGCGTGAGATCCGGGTAACTCCCGTTGCCGGTGGTGCCAATATGCGTTATACCGACAAACAAATTCTGCAGGCCATGGATGGAGATGTGGCGTTGGAGTTTGCCATTGCCCGAAATGGACGTTTCTATAGGAATGTGTTTTCGATGCCGATTTTGGGTGAGACTGGGAGGGGAATGTTTTATTCTCCTAACTATAATAATGATTTCTCTTCTTTCTCTCTCTCTCTCTCTCTTTCTCTTTTTCTCTTTCTCTCTTTTAAGCTTCCCAAATCCTCATCATATTGTCGTTTCTCCTGCGCGGCTATCGCCGTGGCGCTTTAATTTTGGTTGTTATGGTAGTCTTGATGCTGGGCCTAATGTTCCTAACCAAACATGCTCCCACATTTTACATACCACCCATAAGTAGGTCAAACACTTGGAACGAGAATCGTATTAAATAAATCATTTTTTTTTTTGGAAAATTTCAGTGTTGGCCTATCAGCACATCCTGCGAACGGCCACATTCTGTTATATCCTGCATATCTGCCTTATGTGGCTGGAGTTATACCCACCCAAGTGTAAACCCTATGGCTGGCTGACATCGGCCATTAATTTCTCACCCTTGAGGCTGGTGCTGTGCATGAGATTGAGTGATGTAAGTTTTCACTTATTTTAACGGAATAGAGTTTCCATTCGGGGAAACTCCCATTCTGTCGGAGCTGAATAGGAGATTTTTTGTCAGGGAAAATCCCCATTCAGAATAAGAGAATTTCCATTAGGAAAATTTCCCATTCAGCCTGGGCTGAATAGGAGAATTTCCGTCAGGAAATGACTCCCCTTCAGCCTGGGCTGACCAGGAGTATCTCCGTCCGGAAAACTCCGATTCAGCCTGGCTGAATAGGATTTTCGTCAGGAAAACTCCCATTCAGCCTGGGCTGAATAGGATTTTCGTCAGGAAATCTCCGATTCAGCCTGGGCTGAATAGGATTTTCGTCAGGAAATCTCCGATTCAGCCTGGGCTGAATAGGATTTTCGTCAGGAAATCTCCGATTCAGCCTGGGCTGAATAGGATTTTCGTCAGGAAATCTCCGATTCAGCCTGGGCTGAATAGGATTTTCGTCAGGAAATCTCCGATTCAGCCTGGGCTGAATAGGATTTTCGTCAGGAAATCTCCGATTCAGCCTGGGCTGAATAGGATTTTCGTCAGGAAATCTCCGATTCAGCCTGGACTGAATAGGATTTTCGTCTGATAATCTCCGATTCAGCCTGGCTGAATAGGATTTTCGTCAGGAAATCTCCTGGGCTGAATAGGAGAATTTCCGTCAGGAAATGACTCCCATTCATCCTGGCTTAATAGGATTTTCGTCAGCCTGGGCTGAATAGGAGAATTTCCGTCAAGAAAACTCCCATTCCAAAAAAAAAGAATATTTTTTTATTCCATTTTCAGTCCGACGACTTCATCGACTCCCAGCAGCAACCATGGTGCGAGGTGGCCAAGATCCTGAATGCCTTGTGTTTTGTGTTGATCAACATTGTCTGTGTATTGGTGGTGGTCACCCTGTTGCCTCATGTCTAGCCTTAATTATTGAAATCCAGTTTTTTTTTATAAAATTAAAAAAAATAAAATAAAATCGAATGTATTTTTGTGAAAAAAGTTCCAAAATTTGTTTGTTATTATATTTCAATATTTCTTGAGATTATCCTTAGAACTTTTCTCTATGCCATTCGGAAAATTATAAAAAAAAAAAAAATAGTTAATTGGAAAAATTAAAGGAAAATTAGAGCGCATCTCTTAAAAAAAAGGTTGGAAACTACAAAATTAATACTTCAAATGATTCTTTCTGCTGTTGACGAATTGTGTGACCCTATATCTAACGCATGTCCTGGAAGTCTGCTTCATGTATCCTTAGAATTAAAAAAATAATATGGAAGTTTAACAATATTTGACTGAGTTCATGAAATCCTTTTCGGGGGGTCCTTTGTCCTTTGTCCGATCACATGTGTCTTCCTTAGTGATGGCCATAGCCATAACCACCAAAACCATGGCCATAACCCAGGGAAATGGCTGGAGCGGCAGCAGCATAGCTAATGGCCGGAGCAGCATAGGATATGGCAGGGGCAGCAGCCACAACGGGAGCAGCGGCAACTTTGACGGCAGGAGCAGCATAAGAGATGGCTGGGGCGGCGGCCACCACGGGAGCAGCTGCCACCTTGACGGCTGGGGCAGCAACAGCCACAGCTTTGATGGTGGCTGGCTGGTTCACAACCGAGGTAAAGGTGGAGTAGCTGGTGGCGGCTGGAGCCACAGCTTTCACAACAGTCGGGGCGGCGGCAACTTGAACGGCAGGAGCGGCAGCAACTTGCACAGCCGGGGCAGCATAGCTAACGGCTGGGGCAGCATAGCTTACGGCAGGAGCTGCTGCCACCACAGGGGCGGCGGCCGCATAACTGACAGCAGGGGCAGCATAACTAATGGCCGGAGCAGCAGCAATGGCTGGGGCACCATAGGAAATACCATGGCCTCCAAACAGGCCACCGGGTGCCGCCAACGCACAACCGATTAAGGATACAAGGATCTAAAACCAAAACCGCATTATCCTTTGAAAAATCATCTCCTTTCCACCACCCGCAGACTCACCAAGAATTTCATAATTTTTTTTATTTTCGTTCAAAATTCTCACAGGATCTCTAGTTCACCACGAAAATCTGAAAACTTGCTGCTCAATGGTCTTCTAGGTTAGCAATGTTATGCGATACTGTAATCAATCAAACATGTTGCAGATACTTTTATATGACACACAACAATATTTGGAGATTCAAACAAAAAACAAGTTAAAAAGCTGTAAGTTCGGCCGGGCCGAACTTTTAATACCCTCCACCATTTGGTACAAATTTGGCATTTTCTAATAAATAAAATCCGTTAAAAATTCTGTTAAAATCTTAAGAATACCGAATGCTTATACGACGACGTGGGCCAGCATAGGCAACTTTTGTCATAAGTTATTACACTATTTAAATGCGAAACTTGAAGAAAAATCTGTTTATAATCTAGCTAATATCATTAAAATACGCAATATGGGGGGTACCGTTATATGGGGGCTATACGAAGACATGGACCTGCACAGACAATTTTCTGGCATGGGCTGAAGTATCTATTCCGAAATTCACATGCGAAATTTGAAACAATCCCGGTAAATAATGTCGCTAAAATCATCAAAATACCGAATATCGGGGGGTACGGTATATGGGGGCTATATGAAGACGTGGACCTATATGGCCCATTTTCTGTTTTATGCTGCAGTATCTATTACGAACTTCAAACACCAAATTTGGAACGATTTCGCTGAATAATTTCGCTAAAATCATCAAAATACCGAATATCGGGGGGTACCGTTATATGTGGGCTATATGAAGAAGTGGACCTACATGGCTCATTTTTTGACTTAGGATGTAGTATCCATTACGAAGTTCAAATACCAAATTTGAAACGATTCCGGTAAACAATGTCGCAAAAATCATAAAAATACCGAATATCGGGGGGTACCGTTATATGGGGGCTACACGAAGACATGGACCTGCACAGATAATTTTCTGTTTTAGGCTGTAGTATTCATTACGAACTTCAAATGCCAAATTTGAAACAATTCCGGCGAATAATGTCGCTAAAATCATAAAAATACTGAATATCGGGAGGTACAGTTATATGGGGGCTATATGATAACTTGGACCTACATGGCCCATTTACGAACTTAACCTGCCTACAGGCAAAATATACATGTGTGCAAAATTTTAGCCTTCTATCTCAATTTGTTCGAAAGATAGCGTGATTACAACAGACAGACAGACAGACAGACAGACAGACAGACGGACAGACAGACAGACAGACAGACACACAGACAGACAGACGGACATGGCTAAATCGTCTTAGAATTTTACGCTGATCAAGAATATATATACTTTGTTGGGTCTGACATGAGTATTTCGAGGAGTTACAAACGGAATGACAAAATTAATATACCCTCCATAGTATGGTGGAGGGTATAAAAAATTAAAAAAAAAAAAATCTGAAACTCACACACACACACACACACACACTCACAAGCCAACGACGATTGGTGGAGCGGACCATGCCATGCCAAAGTACATTCACATGAATGCCAAAACAAGTAATGAAACTGAAATTAGTGCAAAAGTATTGAAAAAAAAAAACTATAACAACAACAACAACGCCCCAACAAAGTCGATCAGTTTTTTTGGTTTGTTGTTGTAAAGAATTGTTGCAATTAGCATCAGTGGCTTGTAATGTAACCTCCTCCCAGGACCATAAAAGGCATGACAAGTTGCGTACGACACCAGGTGGCAGATTCGGTTATGCATACCATCATTGAATATCGCGATGGAAAGTTGGTTTTCTATAAAAAAAAAAAAATTCGAAACTAGTTGGGTTGGATAGGAGGACGCTACTCAACCGCACTAAATAGAAGTTTTTCCAAGGAAAACCCAATTTAGGCAGGTGGCATAGAAGTTTTCACCACGGAAATCCTATTTCGCCAGGATGAGCAAAAGTTTTGCCCTGGGAAACCCTACTTAACCAGGGTGAATAAAATTTTACTTCAGGGTAACACTACTCTTCCAGTATGAGTAGATTTTCCCCAATGAACGTTTATTCATTCCCAAAGGAAACCAAAGTCAGCGAGGGTGAAATAAAACTCTTCCCCAGGGAGCCCCTATTCGGCGAGAATGTGTAGAAAATTTCCCCAGGGAAACCTCAATTAATTTCCAAAGAAACCTTAGTCAGCCAGGCTAAAATAGAACTATTCTCCAGGGAGCCCCTATTCCGCCAGGATGTATAGAAAATTTCCCCAGGGAAACCTTTATTCATTCCCAAAGGAAACCCTAGCCGGCCAGGCTGAATAGAACTCTACACTAGGGAAACCTCAATCTGCCGGGATGAGTAGAAGTTTTTCCCAAGCAACCTGGCTGAAAAGAAGACGTCCTCACCGAAACTTTATTCACCCAAAAGGCGAACAGAAGCTTACCTAAGGTATATACTTTTTGTACGTCTTAGACTTTAGGGACTCTAGAAGCGTTGGTTAGAGGGAGAAGTCGAAGAAGACTGAATCTTATTCACACAAAAGGTGATCTGAAGCTTTCCTAAGGGACATCATTTTTGTACGTCTTAGATTTTAAGGGCTCTTCAGTCCTCGGTTAGAGTGTTAACCCTTGCTGGCTACTGATGTTTGTATCATAATCATCGAATCACTAGTTAGGAATTCTCAAGACCAGGATGTGAAAACTCGTTGCAAGGGTTCAGAGACTCTTTGGCTAGGGTGTCGACACTCCCTGGGAAGCCGACACTTGCTGACCAGGAAATCAGGAGTTGCTGGCTGCCTTGGGAGTCGAGATTTGTTGGCTAGGGAGTTGATACACGAAACTCGTTGACTAAGGAGTCGAGACTCTCTGGCCCATGAGCCAAGACAGTCGGTACTCGATGGGAAAAGAGTCCAGACTGGGTGTAGAAACACACTGGCTAAGCAGCCGAGATTCGCTGGCCATGGAGCAAGTCTTACTGTCTAGGGATTCGATACTCGAGACTCGCTGTTCAGAGAGTTTGTAGCCTCGCTGGACAGGACAGTTGAGATTTGCTGGGTAGGGATTCGAGACTCGCTAGTCAGGGAGTTAATACATGTAGGCTCGCTGACCAGTGGGTTGAGACTTGCTGGCTAAGTATTCGAGATTTGTTGCTTAGGGTGTCAATATTCGTTGGCTAGGGAGTTGATACTCGACACTCGCTGGCTAGGGAGTCGAGACCCGCTGGTTAGGGAGTTTAGACTCGCTGGACATGGAATCTTGACTCATTGGCATGGTCTCGCTGGCCAGGAAGTCAAGACTTGCTGACTTGGGAGTCGAGACCCGCTGGCCAGGGTGCCTAGGCAGTCGCTACTCTATATTCGATGGAAAGAGAGTCAAGTCGATACTCGTGACTTACTGGCTAGACAGTCGATACTCGAGATTCGCTTGCTTGGTATTAGAGGCATATCAGCTAAGGAGTCGAGACTCGCTGGACATGGAGCTAGACAAGCTGGCTAGGGTATCGATACTCGCTGTTCAACGAGTTAATACTTTCAGGCCTGCTGGCTAGGGAGTCGGGATTTTTTGGCTTGGGTGTGCAAGACTCGTTGACTCGGAAGTTGATACTCGAGACTAGGGAGTCAAGACTTGCTGGCTTGGGAGTTGAGATTCGCAGGCCAGGGAACCAAGTCTTGCTGATTTGGGTGTCGAGACTCACTGGCCAGGGAGCCAAGACATTCGGCACTCGAGACTCGCTGACCATGGAGCGGGACTCGATGGCTAGGGAGTCGAAACTCGCTGACCAGAAAGCCAAGACAGCCGGTACTCGAGGGAAAGAGAGTAAAGATTTGCTGGCGAGAGTCGATACCCATGTCTTACTGGCTAGGCGGTCGACACTCGCTTGCTTGGAGTAGAGGCACACTGGCTAAGGATTCGAGACTTCCTGAACATGGAGCAAAACTTGCTGACTACAAGTCGATACTCGCTGGTCAGGAAGTTAATACTTACAGGCCTGCTGGTGTGCAAGACTCATTGCCTCGGAAGTTGATACTCGAGACTCGCTGGCCAGGGTGCCAAGGCAATCGGTACTCGATGGGAATAAAGTCGAGATTTGCTGGGGAGAGTCGATAATCGAGACTTACTGACTAGAAAGCCGATACTCGCTGACTAGAGACTTACTGACAAGGGAGTCGAGACCTGCTGCCTAGAGACTCGAGACTTTGCTGGCTAGGGAGGAGACTCACTGGTCATGGAGCCGGTGAGGTAACTAACTTCGACTAACCTCACTAATTAGGGAACCAGAACCACTGGGAAGGGAACCTCGAGCCACTGTTTAGGGATGCTAGTGTCGCTGGTACGGGTACCCTGAGTCACTGGTTAGGTAGGCGAGCGACATCTGTGATAAAGGCTAGCGTCACTGGTTAGGGAGGCTAGCGTCACTGTTTAGAGAGGCTAACGTCACTGGTTAGAGAGACTAACGTTAATGATATAGAAGGCTACCGAACGGCAGAAAGCCGAACGTCTCGGGTTAGGAAGGCTAGCGTCACTGGTAAAGGAGGTTAGCGTCACAGTTTACTGAGGCAAGCCTCACTGGTTTGGGAGGCTAGGCTCACTGGTTTAGGAGGCTAGCGTCACTAGTTGGGGAGGCTAGCGTCACTGGTTAGGGAGGCTAGCGTCACTGGTTAGGGAGGCTAGCGTCACTGGTTAGGGAGGCTAGCGTCACTGGTTAGGGAGGCTAGCGTCACTGGTTAGGGAGACTAGCGTCACTGGTTAGGGAAGCTAGCGTCACTGGTTAGGGAGGCTAGCGTCACTGGTTAGGGAGGCTAGCGTCACTGGTTAGGGAGGCTAGCGTCACTGGTTAGGGAGGCTAGCGTCACTGGTTAGGGAGGCTAGCGTCACTGGTTAGGGAGGCTAGCGTCACTGGTTAGGGAGGCTAGCGTCACTGGTTAGGGAGACTAGCGTCACTGGTTAGGGAAGCTAGCGTCACTGGTTAGGGAGGCTAGCGTCACTGGTTAGGGAGGCTAGCGTCACTGGTTAGGGAGGCTAGCGTCACTGGTTAGGGAGGCTAGCGTCACTGGTTAGGGAGGCTAGCGTCACTGGTTAGGGAGGCTAGCGTCACTGGTTAGGGAGGCTAGCGTCACTGGTTAGGGAGACTAGCGTCACTGGTTAGGGAAGCTAGCGTCACTGGTTAGGGAGGCTAGCGTCACTGGTTAGGGAGGCTAGCGTCACTGGTTAGGGAGGCTAGCGTCACTGGTTAGGGAGGCTAGCGTCACTGGTTAGGGAGGCTAGCGTCACTGGTTAGGGAGACTAGCGTCACTGGTTAGGGAGGCTAGCCTCACTTGTTTGGGAAGTTAGCCTCACTGGTTAGGGAGGCTAGCGTAACTGCTTAAGAGGACTAGCGTCACGGATTAGGGAGGCTATAGTTACGTGTTGAAGAGTATGGAGTTACTATTTAGAGCGTCTAGTGTAACTAATTCGAGAGGAGAGCTTCACCGGCAAGGATGGCTGACATCACCGCATATCGAGGCTAGCGTCAGTGGTTATGTAGGCTAGTGTTACTTGTTAGGGGGGAGATTGGTACTGGAACCCAGCGTCACGGGTTAGGGAAGCTAGCTTCAACGGTTAGGGAGGCCAGCGTCGGTGGTTTGGGATGCTAGCTTCACTGGTTAAGAAGGCTAGCTTCAATGGCTAGGAAGCCGACCCTCACAGGTAGGGGATCCTAGCGTCACTGTTTGAGGAGGCTAGAGTTACGGATTAGGGAGGCTAGTAACACTAGTTTGGAAGTACCCTTGGGAAGACTAGCGTCACAGATATGATTAACTAGCGTCGCTGAACTGACAGCCGGATTAGGAAGGCTAATGTCTGGGATTAGAAAGGATAACGCCTCGGGTTAGGAAGGTTTGCCTCACTTGTTAGGGAACCTTGGGTCACTTGTTAGATATGCTGGTTCGCTTTTGTGGGAAAATCTGCCTTTTAAACCATCCACAACATCTTCCTTAGGAATTCGATTAAAATTCGACAATAAATTTGCATTTTTACGAAAAAAGTTCAATTTTATTTTCATAATTCAATACATTCAGAATTCAATCTCTTTCAAATCACATATTCTTTATAGCTTTTGAGCCGTAAACACAAAAATGGTCACTATCCCTGGTTTCTTTCTTTTTTTGGTGAAGAACTTTCTTCTATGCCATTACACGCGAACGAATAAACAAATACAGGTACATAATTCATAAAAACAAAATCCTAACCTAAAAATGGATGTTAGTTGGAAAATTGCGAAGAAAATTAGCGAATAACAAAATACTATACAAAAAACATGATTCTTTCTGCTTAAAACAAAATAAACACACAATTGTTGCAATCGCCTCAGCCTTGGATGGATTTTGAATGCCACAGCGGTTCTCCCTTGCATGGTAACTCTTAAAATTATCGAAAATTTCACAAAAATCATTATTTCAAAACGTTGCGATTCCATTATTCTTCCGTTATGCTCATGAAAAGTCTAAATATCCGAATTGATTTAATGATGACCATAGCCATAGCCTCCGAAACCACCATAACCCAATGAGATAGCAGGAGCAGCGGCAATGGATTTGAAGGAAACGGCAGGGGCAGCAGCCGCGTAACTTATGGCTGGAGCAGCGGCAATGGATTTGAAGGAGACAGCAGGGGCAGCAGCCGCGTAACTTATGGCTGGAGCAGCGGCAATGGATTTGAATGAGACGGCAGGCGCAGCAGCGGCATAACTTATGGCTGGAGCAGCGGCAATGGATTTAAAGGAGACAGCTGGGGCGGCGGCCGCGTAACTTATGGCCGGAGCAGCGGCAATGGATTTGAAAGATACTGCCGGAGCAGCGGCAGCATAACTAATGGCTGGGGCAGCAGCAATTGATTTGAATGAAACTGCCGGGGCAGCTGCGGCATAACTAATTGCCGGAGCAGCAGCTACGGCTTTATAGGAAACAGCTGGTGCGGCATAGGAAATGGAAGGAGCATATGATATGGCAGGAGCGGCGGCGGCATATGAAATGGCAGGAGCAGCAGCAATGGCTGGAGCGGCAGCAACTTGAACGGCGGGGGCGGCAGCAACCTGAACCGCTTGTACAGCAGGCGCCGCAGCAACTTGAACAGCAGGAGCAGCGGCCACCTTAACAACGGGTGCTGGTGCAGCTACTGCAACGCGAACAGTTTGAGGATGATTGATGTACTGGAGGGTAAAGTTTTACAAAAATTAGTAGCATCACTGGTTAGGTAGGCTAGGATCATTGGGTTAGGACAGTAGCATCAGCGAGAGTAGCTTCGATGGTAAAGGTGGTTAGCCTAGAATTAATACTCGAGGCCCGGAATTAAGCCTCACTGGCCAGGGAATCTAGGCTCATTGGCTTTTGAATCGAGTTACGAGCCTCACTGGCCAGAAGTCAAGATTACTGACTTGGGTGTCGACTCTCACTGGCCAGGGAGCCAAGACAGTCGCCAATCGAGACTCGCTGGGAAGAGAGTCAAGGCACACTGGGTAAGGAGTCGAGATTTGTTGACTAGGGAGTTGATATTCGAAACTCGTTGATTAAGGAGTCGAGACTCTCTGGCCCGTGAGCCAAGACAGTCGGTACTCGATGGGAAAATAGTCCAGACACACGGGCTAAGGAGTCGAGATTCGCTGGACATGGAACAAGACTTGCTGGCTAGGGATTCGATATTCGAGACTCGCTGGCCAGTGAGTTGAGACTCGCTGACAAGGAAGTCGAACTTTTTTGGCTAGTGTGTCAATATTCGTTGTCTAGGGAGTTGATATTCGTAAAATCTTGACTCATTGGCTTGGGAGTCGAGACCCGCTGGTTATGGAGTTAAGACTCGCTGACCATGGAATTTTGACTCATTGGCTTGGGAGTCGAGTCGCGAGTCTTTCTGGCCAGGAAGTCAAGACAGTCGGTACTCGAAATTCGATGGAAAAAGAGTCAAGACTTGCTGGCGAGAGTCGCTACTCGGTGCTTACAGGCTAGGCAGTCGACACTCGAGACTCGCTGGCTTGGAGTAGAGGCACACTGGTTAAGGAGTCGAGACTCGCTGAACATGAAGCAAGACTTGCTGGCTAGGGAGTCGATACTCGCTGATCAGGAAGTTAATATTTTATGGCCTGCTAGCCAGGGAGTCGGGTGTGCAAGACTTGTTTACTCGGAAGTTGATACTCGAGACTCGCTGCTCATGGAGTCTATACTCATTGGCCTGGGAGTCGAGGCGCGAAACTCGCTGGCCAGGAAGTCAGAACTTGCTGGCTTGGAAGTCGAGATTCGCTGGCCAGGGAGCCAAGGCAGTCGGTACCCGAGATTCGATAGAAAGAAAGTCGATACTTGAGACATACTCGCTGGCAAGGGGTCGAGACTCACTGCCTAGAGACTTGCTGGAGAGTTGAGACTTTGGTGGCTTGGGAATCGATACCCGCTGGCTAGGAAGTAGAGACTTTGCTGGCTAGGGAGTCGAGATTTTGCAGGCTAGGGAGTCGAGACTCACTGGCGAGAGTAAGACAACTTCGAAGGGTAGCCTCATTAATTAGGGAACTATAACCACTATCACTATGCTGGGGCTTAGCGTCACTGATTAGGGAGTCGCTGCTTTGGAAGGCTAGCCTCACTCGTTTGGGATGCTAGCCTGACTGGTTAGGGAGACTATAGCTACTAGTTAGGGAGACTAGAGCTACTAGTTAGGGAGACTAGTGCTACTGGTTAGGGAGACTAGCTTCTCTGGTTTGGGAGGCTATCCTCACTGGTTTGGGAGACTAGCGTTGCTGGTTAAGGAGACTAGCGTCGCTGGTTAGGGATAATATAGTCGCTGGTTTGGGAGCCTCACTGGTTTGGGAGACTACCCCTACTGGTTAGGGATGCTAGCCTCACTGGTTTGGGAGGCTAGCCTCACTGATTTGGGATACTATCCTCACTGGTTTGGGAAGCTATGGAACCTCGAGCCACGCTTCAGGGAAGGCTATAGTAACTGGTGCTTAGCGTCACTGATTAGGGAGGCTAGCTTCAGTTAGAGTTGCTGGTTAGGGAGGCTAGTGCCGCTGGTACGGGAACCCTGCCTCACTTGTTTGGGAGGCTAGCCTCACCTCGACTCGGTTTTCCTAGTGCGGCTAGTCGACAGAAGATATCATTCCAGTTTAGTAGCCTTGCGTTCCTGGTTCACTTTTTTGGGAAATATGATCTCTCGGCCCAAATACTTACGGTACTGAACGTTGTGGTAGTGGTCGATGCAGGAATAACAGCTTTAACAATTTGTACGGCAGGAGCGGCAGCAGCAACTTTTACAGCTGGAGCGGCGGCAACTTGGATGGCAGGCGCAGCAGCCACTTGTACAGCTGGCGCAGCAGCTACCTGAACAGCTGGTGCGGCGGCAATGGCAGGAGCAGCGGCAGCATATTGAATAGTTGGAGCAGCAGCAGCATATTGAATGGCTGGGGCAGCCGCCACAGCAACCGGTGCTGGGGCAGCATAACTAATGGCAGGTGCTGCAGCAGCATAGCTGATGGCGGGAGCGGCCGCCACTGTTTTTATGCTTACAGCTGGTGCAGCAGCAGCATAACTCACCGCTGGAGCTGCAGCATAACTGATGGCAGGTGCTGCCGCCACAGCTTTATAGCTGACTGCAGGTGCTGCTGCCGCATACGAAACGGCGGGAGCGGCTGCATAACTAAGACCGCCACCATAATATCCACCAAGCCCACCATATAATCCACCGGGGGCGGCCAGTGCAGCGGCAATCAAAGCGAATAAAATCTACAACACATATTTAGACATTGTTTTTTTTTTTTAGAATCTCTCTTCCGACTTCGTCACTTGCATTTCGTTCTGCTCACCAAAATTTGCATTTTCACAAACGTTTCGTCGTCGTTTCGGTTTTCGTCAAAGGATCTTAGCTCTAGCTACCGGAATACACGACAACACTTCGCAACGATTAGAAGTGTTATGAGTTACTGTCATCAAACGGTGATGCTGTTGTAACTTTTATAACAACCTAGCCAAACAACCGCAACAAACAGCCATGGCGAACAAATTGGGCAAAAACACAAGCGCATGAAATCCATAGCCAAACACCAGGCGATATCAAAATGCTCACCAAAAATTAACCAACGACAAGAATTTTGGCCGGTTTCGGTTTTCTATTTGGCAAAGCTTACAATCTAAAATAGTTGCAGCACCGCAATAGCAAACAAATGAGGAAAATTGTTGCAATCGATCGAGAGAAGTAACAAAAAGCTGTGAAAATATTTATGGTGCTACTCCGATTGGGAGAAACTTCTTGAGTTCATTTCACAACTTTTGGCTAATTGCTGTAGATTTTTTTCCTATTTGTTCTGATTTGCCTTTAATGGGAGGTTTGTGGAAGTCGTGGAGCAACAATGTTTGGGGGTATGGGAAAATGTCTAAAACCCAAGTCTACACATGTTATAGAGGTGGGCGATCTCCCAAAAGTTCTTCTCTGATTTGGGCCATCGCTTCTTTAAAGGGAAAGCATACTCGCAGCAAAGAAAGACCTGTGAGATTTACTGAGACATGCATAGGCCCGTTAATTATGGAAAACTAGGTTTAATATAAGCTGAGACTTGAGCTAGCGGAATAGGAATTCTGAGGATCGGTCATAACATCATGTTGTAATCAGAACCCTGGAGATCGCTGATAAGGAAGACTGTGTGGGGCAGACCTGCTGTGCGCGATTACGGAGATAAAAGTGACCGCTCTAAGGAAACTGGCGCATCTTATCATCGTTCAAACTTAGTTGGGCATGTTAGCATCAATAGGTGGGGATTCTAGCATTGCTAGTAAGGAAACTAGCGTCCCTAATTAGGGAGAATTGCGTAATTTGCTAGGAAGGCTAGCGTATTTTGTTTGGGAGGCTAACGTCACTAAATTGGGAGGCCAGCTATGCGTTACTGACTTAGGAAGTTATCGTCACTCGCTTGGCTAGCTGCATCTCTGCTTGGGAGACTAACGTCACATTAAACGGAACCTAGTGCGACTTACTTGGGAGGCCAGCGACACTGGCTAAAGATGCCACCTTATTCCATTATATCGTTACCGGCTTGGGAAGCTAGCGTTCCTATTTGGGAGGCTAGCGTCACTGGTTAGAGAAACTAGGACTACTGGTTAGGGAGGCTAGGGTCACTAGTTAAGGAGGCTAGGATTACAGGTTTGGAAGGCTAGCGTCATCGGTTTGGGAGGCTAGCGTCATCGGTTTGGGAGGCTAGCGTCACCGGTTTTGAAGGGTAGCGTCACTGATTTGGGATGCTGGCATCACCGGCTAGCGTACCTGTTTAGGGAGACTAGCGGCACTGGTTATGGAAGCTAGGCTTATAGGTTTCTCTTTGAGAGGTGAGCGTAACTGGTAAGGCTAGCGTAACGGGTTTGTGAGACTAGCGTGACTGGTTTGGGAGGCTAGCGTCAAGGTTAGGCAGCCTATCTTATAAAGTTGGGAAGGCTATCATCGCCAGTTTGGGAGGCTTAAGTAACTAGTTAGGGAGGCTGGCGTCGAACAGGCTACTGGCTCGATTCTCTTTGAGAGGTGATCGCCACTGGTTAGGGAGCTAACTTGACAGGTTTGGAAGGCTAGCGTGACTGATTTGGGAGACTAGCGTGACTGGTTTGAGAGGCTAGCGTCACATGTTTGGGAGACTAGCGTGGCTGGTTTAGAAGGCTAGCTTGACTGGTTTGGGAGGCTATAGTAACAAGTTAAGGAGGCTTGCTTCGAAACAGTGACCTACCATGTCTCTTTGGGAGGCTAGCTTACCTGTTTTGGGAGACTAGCGTCACTGGTTAGGAAAGCTAGCGTGAGTGGTTTGGGAGGCTAGCGTCACATGTTTGACAGCGTGTGGTTTGGGAAGGTAGGGTAAGTAATAAGAGAGACTAGCGTCACTTTTTTGGGATCCTTTAGTCACTGGAAATTGTTGCCCACTTGAAAGTCTCTCGCTTGGAATGTCTACGTTGGTTCGGAAGGTTAGAATCACTTATTAGGAAGTTATCTTCGCTAGGTAGGGAATCTACCATCACGGGTTCTTGTGGCAAGGGAGAATATGCTCGGTGACCAGAGGGAGACTATACTCGCCGACCGGAGACTAGAATCGTCGACTATAGGGATACTAGGTTCGACCAGAGGGATTCTGGGCTCGTTGACTAGAGAGAGTCTGGACTCCCTGACCAGAAGGAGGCTAGGTTCGGTGAATATAGTGGGTATAGGCTCGCTGGCCAGAGGGATTCTGGGCTCGCTGATCAGAGGGAGTCTGGGCTAAGTGACCAGAATGAGGCTAGGTTCGCTGGGCTCGCTGATCAGAGGGAGTTTGGCTAAGTGACCAGGGGAGACCAGGCTAGCTGAGAGTCTGGGCTCGCTGAACAGGGATACCCTGGACTCGCTGACCAAAGAGAGTCTGGGTTCGCTGCCGAGATAAGGGTAGGGTCGCTGACTAAAAGAAGACTAGACTCGCTGGTCAGAGGGAGACCGAACCTGGGCCAGAGGTATATTGGGCTTGATGATCAGGGGGAGACTAGGTTTGCTGACCTGAGGGAGACTAGGCTCGCTGACCAGGGCCAAACTAGGATCGCTGATCAGAGGGAGATTAGGCTCGATGATCAGTGGGAGACTAGGATTGCAGACCTGAGGGAGACTACGCACACTGGCCATAGGAAGACTACGCACACTGGCCAGATAGAGACGAGGCTCGTTGAAGGGAATCCAAGATTAGAATGCCCTTATAGGGAGCTTAGCTGAGGTGGCTTGGGATTAACTGAAGGATCTTATTTGCCCTCCGACCTCGAAAAAATTTTAATACTCCAATTTCCTATGAAAACTCCTGCTGTTTTTCAAGAAGAATAAAATGAAGATCTTTGTGGGGGATTGCTAAGTTTTCAATTAAAAAATTCAGTCAGATCTTCTTGAAACCGTTCAACATTATTGGTTTCGAAACCCCTCCAACTCCCCTCGTAATAAAACAGTAAAGATTGCACTTTCAATTGAAAAAAGTTCATTTTTATTTTAACATATTTTTTTTTTGGTAAATTTTTCAGAAATTATTTCTTTTAATTTTTTTTATATTCTTGAGATACAAAATGGTTCAACAAAAAATCACGGTGGTTCTGTTTTTTTTTTAGTTTTCAAAAGTTTTGTTTTGATGAACTTTCTTCTGTGCCCTTTAAAGCTGATTACAAGAAAGTTTAATAAAGTATGCAATAACAATAATAATAATAAAAAAAAAACATTGGGTTAATGAGAAATGGAAAAGTAAACAATGAAAATTAGTTGGCTTATTACGTATATGCGATTGATTCTTTCTGTCAAAGTGCTTTGCTTCTCGCAGTTGGCGTTTTTTTCTTTTTGTTCAAACTTAAAATTAAATGAAATTATATGGTCTTCAGAAATTCGTAGGTTACAATGCGGCGGTTTTGTTTTTGGAATGATTTCACAATTGCTTTGTTCCGTGAAATATGAAATGTTTAGTGGTGTCCATGACCGTAGCCATAACCACCTCCATAACCATAGCCCAAAGATATGGCTGGAGCGGCGGCAGCATAGCTAATGGCGGGGGCAGCGGCAACGGCTTTGTAGGAAACTGCAGGGGCAGCATAGGAGACAGCTGGGGCGGCATACGAGATGGAGGGAGCATAGGAGATGGCAGGGGCAGCATAGGAGACGGCTGGAGCGGCATAAGAAATGCCTGGAGCGGCGGCTACAACTGGAGCAGCGGCTACCTTAACGGCGGGGGCAGCATATGAGATGGCTGGGGCGGGAGCGGCGACGGCAATTGTTTTAACGGCGGCTGGTTGATTTACAACCTGAAAAGGGAAAGGGAAAATAGGTTGTTAAGAGGATATTGTTCGGAGAATGTAGGATGTTCTTGGAATTATGAGAAACAAAGGCAAGATCTTCGGCCAAAAGTAGACAGATTAAAAACGTCATCTCTCTCTCTCTCTCTCTAGGAGTATTTTTTGAACAGCATAGCCGGCTGTCTTCTCTTGTTTAGTAACCGAAAAAAAGACTTTTACATTCGTTCAGTGACCTTCCGTCACTCGTTCAGTGACTTTAAATATTCCTTTACTCATTTAATCCCCAATAAATATCCTTTCGCTCGTTCAGTGATCAAAACCTTTATTTCAATAGTTCAGTGACTAAAACAGACTCCTTCACTCGTTCAGTGACTTGACAAGACTCATTCACTTGCTCAGAGGCCTTACTCTCACTCAGCCACCTATAAAGACACCTTCGCTCGTTCAATAGAATGAAACGCGTTCAGTGACCGAAAAATACTTATTCCGTGTTTCGATGACCTATAAACTCTACTGAGTCCGTTTTGGGACCTAACCTTCACCTTCAGTGGCATATAAGGTCTCTTTCGCTCGTTCAGTGTACTAAAAAGACTCTATTACTCGTTCAGTAATTTGAATAGACCTTTTCACTCGTTCGGTGACCTTAAAAGAATCCTTCATTCGTTTAAGCGACAATAAAGACCTACAAAACCTTCTTCTTCAACTATAACGACTCTTTTACCCATTCAGTGGGGTATGGAGAATCCTTTACTCTTTAAAAAAACTCATTCACTTGAGTCAGTGACCTAAAAAGACACCTTCACTGGTAGGGTGATCTTAAACCCTGCTACGTTGGTTAGTGACTTAAAAATACACTTTCAGTGGCCTATAAAGACTCTTTCGATTGTTCAGTGACCTTAAAAACACTTTCGCTTGTTCAGTGTCCTAGAAATACTCTTCCACCTGTTCAGTGATCTATGTACACTCCTTCATTCTTTCAGTTGCCTATAAACCCTACTGCGCTCGTTCAGTGACCTAAAAGACTCCTTCACTAGTTCAGTGATCTAAAATCCTTCTTTACTCGTTCAGTGACTTATAGAGACTTTTTCACTTCTTCTGTGACATAAAAAGACCTGTTTTTCTTTATCAGTAGCCTATCAAACTCCTGCGCCCGTTCAGTTATCGGAAAAGACTCCTTTACTTTCATTGGCCTATAGTTCCTATTGTATTTCTTCAGCAACTGAAAAAGACGTCTTCAGTTGTTTAGTGACCCATCAAGATTCCTTCAGTCATTCAGTGTCGTACAAAGTCTCCTTCACTCGTTCAGTATCCCATAAACCCTCCTGTGTCCTAAAAAGGCTCTGCCACTCGTTAGTGATCTATCAAGAGTTCTTCATTTGTTTTGTTGTCTTTAAACACTCCTGCTCTCGTTCAGTGATATTTCTTCTTTTCTCCCTCTCTCTTTCTTGATCAGTAGCAACTATAGCGCTTGTTCAGTGCCTCCTTCACTTTTAGTTGCTCGTTCAGTGAGTTTAGAAGAATCCTTCACTCGTTCAGTGTTCCATAAACGCTTCTTCACTCTCTCAGTGTCCAACAACGTCTTTTGTATTTCTTCAGTGACATAAAAAGCCCTTTCACTCGTTCAGTAACCTAAAAAGATTCTTGTGCTCGTTCAGTGATCTAAAAAGACTCATTCGCTCGTTCAGTGATCTATACTGTCTCTTTAATTTGTTATGACCTATTAAGGTTTTTAAATCGATGGATGTCCTCTCAAAAGCTGTTTTGCTTCAGAATTCTTATAATTCGGCCTATATATTCCAAAAACCCCGATGATGGGAAAAGCTCTACATAGAAAAATGGATTTCTGGAAATTGAATTCATCTATTGAAATCCTTAATAAGCTTCTGACTTTTACCCTCCCCCATTTCTTCTTTTCCCTTCACTTTCAACTTACACTACTGAAGGTGGTAAAACTGGTAGCTTGTGGGGCGGCAACAGCCTTGACAACAGCAGGAGCGGCAGCAACTTGGACAGCAGGAGCGGCAGCAACTTGGACAGCAGGAGCGGCATAGCTAATGGCAGGGGCGGCAGCAACTTGGACGGCTGGGGCAGCATAACTAATGGCAGGGGCGGCAGCATAGCTAACAGCTGGGGCAGCTGCATAGCTGATGGCAGGGGCGGCAGCATAGCTAACAGCTGGAGCAGCAGCATAGCTAATACCACCGCCATAGAAACCACCATGACCGCCATATAATCCACCGGGGGCAGCAACGGCAGCGGCAATCAAAGAAATCAGGATCTATAACACAATAAGGTGCACATTATTTTTTTTTCTCGAAACGTTGTTTTTTTTTAATTTTTTTCAATATTTTTTTTTCTCTTCTATTTTTTTTTTGCTCACCAAGAATTTCATTTTGTTTTGGATTTTTTTTCGATTTTTTTTTAAAAAGGAAATTTGAGATTTGTGTTTTTCAAATAATTTTCTCTCCGTTTAATTTTACAAAGGAAAAGACGTTGTCAGTTTTATAGGACTGCCCGTTTGGATGCCTTAGACGTTACTGTAATCCATCACTGGTTTAACATGACTTTTTATAACAAAACTGAAAAAGAAACCAAAACGTCATAGAAATGAAGTTGAAACCAAACAGAGGCTAAAGAATCCACCGTCTAATCCCATATGGTGAGGCGACCATTGTGGGCAAGCTGGAGCAGCAAAAAAAAATCAGTTCAAAATACCGGCAATGCATTTGGCCAGTGATGCAATGCAATTTTTTTTCAATGAAAATTTAACAACAATTCGCATCATTTTTTTCTGTCCGGCGATGTGACTTGTTTTTATGTTGTTTTTGCTGTTGTTATTTCATTTGCCACTTATAACAAATTAAGTGCTGTGAATTAAATTTTCCGTCTGGTTGATTATGCGTGTGGTCATAGTTTTTTTGCTTTTGTCATTGTCTGCCCGATCTTGCTATGACCAATGCTGACCATAATCGATGAGATCTGGTTTAGGTATACGCATTCCATGACAGAGCTAAATTTATATGGTTTTCACAAAATCCAGGAGATTTTGGAAAATTACCAAAAATGGGGAAATTGTTTTTAAATATTTTAATTTTGCTTTCAAATACTTTATTTTTGATAGATGTAATCATTTAGAGTATATAGTTTGAATTTTTAAAGGCATCCCAGAATTATTTACGAAACTCCAAAGTGGGAAACTTTATCACAACCAAGAAACATATAGTTAAAAATCGACATCTCCAACTGCCATCCCTATTGGCCACATATTTAACATGTTCATTAAGACATATCATAACTAATGGTAACATATCTTTACCTTTTTGAATTGTGTTATTGTTATTTAACCTAGAGCCTTTTTTTTTGAAAGGCTAAAAATATCTATTTCATGTTTCGGAAGATAAGCGATACATGGGAAGTGAGTAACAGGCACCCTAATGTCAATTTGTGGGCAGAGGACTTTTTAGAAGCCACGTGCACACAAAGGAGACTTTTCAATGGTCAACTCTGACAAGACCCCTCTACCTCTATTTCAAATTGGTCTATTTATCATATTCCCATAAAGAGTTTTACACTTGTCTAACAAGTCCCTTTCATTTGTTCAAGGCTTAAAAAGACGGAATCACTTGTTCAGTGACCTTACAAGCCTCGCTCGCTCGTTCAGTGACCTTAAAATACGTTTTCATTCGTTCAGTGACCTAAAAAGACTGCTGCGCTCGTTCAGTGTCCTTAAAGTCCTTCTTCACATGTTCAGTAGCTTAGAACGAGTTTTTCACCCTTTCAGAAATCTACATAGACTTTATAGCTCGTTCAGTGACTAAACACAGCCTTTCACTCGTTCAGTGACCTATAGACTTTGTCATCCGTTCTATTACCTATAAGGAATCTGTAACTAGCTCAGTTGCCCATCAAATTTCCTTCGCCCTTTCAAGCGTCTATGAAGAATACTTCAGTAATTTAATGCTACTTCTCCATTCGTTCAGTGTCCTATAAAGGCTTCTTCATTCACTCAGTAGACTTAAAGATTTTTTCACATGTTCCGTGACCTAAAACTTTCATTTTATTTGTTAAGTGATTTAAAAAACCTCTCTCGTTCAGTGACCTAAAAAAACTACTCGCTCGTTCAGTGACCTGAAAAAAACTCCATTACTCGTTTGGTGACCTAAAAAGACTTTCCAACACTGTCTTTACACTGTGCAATTTTTAGCTGGCATTTTTATCAATTCTCTTTTAAAATTTCTGCGTAAATCTTCGCGCCTTTACACGGTGGCATTTTACGATAATAGTGCTTGGCATTTTTTCTGACATTTTATTTTATTCAGTATTTCGTATAGAACTAATTGTTTGTAACAGATATTTATAAAGAAGTGATTTAAAATTAAATGTGTGAATCTAAAGAAGAAATGATGGAAAAAGTTATTGAGGTGTTAAATATTGCATTATTAACTTTTATTTTAACTTTCTTTTTTTACTTTTTAATACTTCCAATTAATTTTCATATAATTCACTATACAATTCAATCACTAAAAACATCACATCACAATAAAAGAAACGCATCAAAAATTACAATAAAGAAACGATATGAAATGTCAAAAGCATAAAAAATTCGGAAGAAGCAAAAAGAGAAATGCAAAGAAAATGGCATGTAACCCTGTGCGGTGGCTTATCGTGCCATTTTTTCTTCTATCCTTGTCTCTCTACACCTTTTACCAACAAAAAAAAAAAATGGCATGGTTAAAAAATGTCACCGTGTAAAGGCAGTGCAACTCATTCAATGACCTAAATATACTCCATTGCTCGTTCAGTGACTTAAAAAGACGCCTTCACTCGTTCAGTGTTCTATAAAGGTTCCTTCACTCGTTCAGTGTTTATAAAAACTAATTCACTCCCTCAGTGCCCAATGACGTCTATTTTATTTCTTCAGACTCCTGTGTTCGTAAAAAGACTCATTCACTCGTTCAGTGATCTTAAAGGCTCTTTCAGCGCCCAATAAGGTCTATTTTATTTCTTCAGTGACATAAAAAGCCCCCCCCACTTGTTCAGTATCTTAAAAAGTCTGCTGTGCTCGTTCAGTGATCTAAAAAGAGTTCTTCACCCTCTTTTACTTGTTCGGCTTCTAGTAAGGGCACCTTTAATCGTTAAGTAACCAATAGACACCTTTAATCGTTCAGCCACCTACAAATAACCTCTCCTTCGTTCAGTGGCTATAAATACTCTTTTCTTTTCTCAGGGACTTATAGAGACTCTATAACCTTTACTGGCCTAAAAAGACATCTGCGCTCGTTCAGTGACCTACAAAATAAATACATTTAATCGCTGAGCCACCTACAATTAACCCTTTATTCGTTCAGTGGTTATTAGTGACCTACAATAACTTCATACTCTTTTTATGGCCTAGAAAGTCATCTGAACTCGTTCAGTGACTTCCTAAGACTATCAAGGCCCCTTCACTCGTTCAGTAACCTAAAAGGACTTCATCGCTAGTGCAGTAACCTATAAGACTATCAATTGTTCAGTAACTTATAAAGACTTATTCGCTCGTTCAGTGATTTATCAAGACTTCTTCACTCGTTCAGTGGCCTAATTAGACTCTTACTCGTTCAGTGGCCTAATTAGACTCTTACTCGTCCAGTGGCCTAAAAGGTCGCCCTCGCTTGTTGAGTGAATTATAACGTCTATTTTTTTTGTTCAGTGACCTAAAAATCTTTCAATCGTTTGTTGACCTAAACTCGTTCAGTGATCTTACTGATCGGTCACCTACTTGATTGGTTTTAATTTTAAAGATAGATGGCATTATAGTGTGGCCTTTTTTGGATGCTCTCAGCGAATCTTCCAACGCATTTCACAAGTTCAGGGATAGATGGATGTTAATGCCAGAGCTATAATCTAAGACCGAGTTTTTTACTGGAAAAAATTATAAGTTTAATTTCAAGACATCGCAAAAGATGACCTCAAGTGTTTCGTAATAGGACTTCAGATTAATTCGAAAAAGAAAACGATAAAACTTATTTAAATCGAAATTCATTTCGATATTTGAAAAATTTATTTTATAAATAGAAAAAAAAAATAATACATTTGATTCTTTCTGCTGCAAACAAAATGAGAATTATAAGAAAAAGAAAGAAAACGTCAATTTTTATTGTCTTTTAGCTCGATGGTATATCACTCTCTCTCGATGTATTTCTCTCTACGTACGTTTTCTCTGTTTATCAACTGATTCGTGGTTCCACATCCTTAATAAATTCTAATAAAATTCTCTCACAAAAATTTAATGACTAAAAATAATTCTTAATCATTTCATACGGCTTGTCATAAATCGGTTTGGAAGATTTTGGAATTGAAATTTCGAAATTTTTTTTACTTAATGATGTCCATAACCGTAGCCGTGACCATAACCATAGGACAATGCTGGCGCAGCATAGCTAATGGCAGGAGCAGCAGCAATGGCCTTGTAGGAGACAGCTGGAGCAGCATATGAGTAGGAAGGAGCTGCATAGCTAATGGCAGGAGCGGCATAGGAGACGGCTGGGGCAGCGTAGGAAATGGCGGGAGCAGCGGCTACCTTGACGACAGGGGCTGGGGCAGCAACGGCAACAGCTTTGACAGCTGGAGGATGGCTGACAACCTTAAAGGAAAGGAAGGAAATTTATATATTAATATACAGTGGGATTTTAGGAAAGATTTCAAATAAATTGTTTAAAAAAATTTCTTCAGGGTCCAGAAAAAATTCTTATGGGACCATGAGACCACAGAAGTTTAGAAAATCATCACTCGGATTCAGCAAAAATTTAAACAAAATGTTCTAACTTTTCTTGATCCAACGCCATCTAGATGTCAACACGGATTCTGTATATTGAAGATTTGTAAAGCTACTTATACAAGGTAAACTCATTTCAAATAATAATATCCAGCTCTGCACTTTCTGCAATTCACCTTGAAAAAATTTTAAGTTATTGACAACAGGTTCCCATCGAAGATTTGTATATAAAAATAGATTTATGAGCATACATTTTGACAATGAGAATGAGATTTTGAAAAAAATTAGACCTAGCATGGGAATTTGGCATTAGGTCGAAAATTGTAATGGAAAAATTGAAAAAAAGAAGTGGATCAGTTTTCCAAAGTATAAAGTTTTAGTTGTTGAAAAATAGTCACACTTAGTCAGAGAGACGACCTCTAGATTTCAAGTTGGATTCGGAACATGGAAGATATGTATCGGAAGGCCTCGTTAGAAATTTTCCAGAAGCTGTCATCTAACGTAGAAATTTTAGCAACTATATCTCCACGAAATAATTAAATTATACGCAGGGTTTTTTGCTCACTGCCATCTGTTCTTCTTCTGTCTGGACATGGCATCTGTCACACTTCCATCTATGTTTTAATTCTAAGAATTTTATTAACATCGCCCGTAAAATGATGCCATTGTTGAGGTATTTAAACGACACAGTAAAATATTATTAGGTGGTGAATGTCTTTACTAGAGTAACTGTAGCAATTTCCGATAAAATCGGTATTTCACTGCCATCTGCATTTAAGGTCTGGAAGCAACAACTGCTAACAATTTTCACCGATGGAAGTGTCTATTAGAGATATCGTGCTCAAAATTAATTAATATTACCACTGTCTGTCATTAATGTCTCGAAAGGTCCTGAAGTACTATCTCGTAGTCTATTTCCATTTCAGGTTTCTCAATTACCCAATTGCCATCTGTATTTAGAGTAGTGAAATGGCATTTTCATGCAACTTGCAGTGGTAGATGTCTTAGCTAATTGAGATACTGTCATTTCTTCAGGAGATTGGGTCAAATTTACCATTGCCTAACTCTTTTGAATTTCCAAAAATTTTGTTCGGACATTTTTTCTTTAAGGTTATCGACAACATTATACTGCCATCTGTCATCAAATTATGTTTCGACAACGTCTTCATATTTATTTGAGAATAACGACAAACTATACTGCCATATCTCATCAAGTTTTGTTCCAACGAGGCACTTGAACAAGAGATGGCGCCTCCATAAAAACGTGAAATTTACATCTAGACGATATTTAGAAGCCTCCGCTCCGTCATCTTCTTTTGAAGTCACAAATAGGCAGGAATCAAATCGAAATGGTGGTATCTTTTCGAATTCTCCAAAATGTTAGACAGATTTCCTCAAAGTTTGGAATACTTTCTGGAGATTATGGGCAATACTATTCTGCAATCTCTTTCAAGTTTTGCTCCAGTGATGCGGACAGTTTTCCGCATACTTTTGAAATATTTTCTGGAGAATATGGACAATACTATTCTCACATCTTTACTTCAAGTTTTGCTCCAGCGAGTCTTTTTAAGCATCTGAACGAGAGATGACGTTCCTATAGCAAAGATGGTAAAACATCTGAAAGGGCCATGGAATATTTTAATGATGGGATCTTTCTAAACTTCCAACAACCTTTTTTGCAGATTAAACTACACTACACTGCCAGCTCTTCTTCGGTGTTTATCCCAGAGACAAAGGTGTTATAATAGGGAAACTGAACAATAGATGGCGTCCTTGTAGAAAATTGAAAAAATATAATTTTTCCGGATAAAAAAAGGACCGACATTTTATTCAAAACTTTCTAGATATTTTTTTGCAGATTTAGTAGCTACTTTCCTGAAATTCATCTACGAACTTTACTGCCATCTCTTCTCCGAGTTTTGTTCGAGTGACCAAAAAGTTATTATAGGAAACTAAATAATATATGGCGTCCCTATAGAATAGTGGAAAATATCGTTATACGTGTAGAAGGGACTTTTTAAACGTCTGGACGAGTCATGGATCGAGTGAAGGAGCCTTTGGAGACTTCCTAATGAGGAAAGCTGTCTTCGAGATCTGAAGAAGTTTAAGGTGGACCTTTAAGTCAACAGGACGAGACTCTGAAGCTACTCAACGAATGAAAGAGTCTTTGTGGGCATCTGAACGATCGAAGGATCCTTGAGTTTGGTTCCAGTAACGAAGTAGTTTTTATAGGAAACTGAATTAAAGATGTCGCCACTAAAAAATAGTGGAAAATATCGTTTTACGTTTAAAAGGGACTTTTTTGACGTCTGGACGAGCAATGAAGCGAGCGAAGGAGTCTTTGCAGACAAGGTATATCTACAATAGTACACTGCCATGTCTTCTTCGCGTTCCAGTGACAAATAAGTTATTATAGGAAACTGAATAAAAGATGGCGCCCTTATAGGAAATGGAAAAATATATTTTTAACGGATAAAAGTGTAAGGAGTCATTAGAGGCTTCTTAATGAGGAAAACCGTCGTCGAGATTTGAAGGAGTTAAATATGGAAATTTAAGGCGACTGTACGAGACTCTAAAGCGCTTGCACGAATGAAAGAGTCTTTCTGGGTATCTGCACGAACGGTGGATCCCTAGGAATTACACCCCCAAGTGAGAAAAATCGTAAGCGATGAAGGTAGCTGCAAAAAATTATTATTTTTAAGGTACTTCATACTTTTTTCTGCAGCTGAATAAATCCAGGAAGCGTTTCACAAAAAAGACCAAAAACGAAATCCCAAAGAAACATTTTAAGTCATGGAAAAAATATTTTTAAAAATGGCTGAAGGTATGTAATTTGACGAAGGAGGACGGTAGAGGTCCTTGTAGATAAAATTATTATTCCCAATAAAAAAAATTTTCTTTCTAGCCCTCCAAAAGTAATACTTACTGTGCTGAATGTCGAATAACTGGTGGCAGCAGGAGCAACGGCCTTAACCACAGTTGGTGCAGCATAACTGACGGCAGGAGCAGCATAACTGATGGCTGGGGCAGCCACCGCTGTCTTGACAACAGCTGGAGCGGCATAGCTAACCGCAGGGGCAGCATAACTGACCGCAGGAGCGGCATAACTAATGGCTGGAGCAGCATAACCAGCGCTAATATAACCACCATGGCCGCCATATAATCCACCGGGAGCAGCCACGGCAGCAGCAAACAAACAGGCAAGGATCTGCAAACATACACACACACAGACATGAACAAATATTTATGGCAAAGAATTTACACTTTTAGGAAACACGGCTAAATTTATATTTAAAAAAATCTTCGATTTAAAATCGCAGCTATTGCTCACCAAGAATTTCATTTTTAATATTTTTTAAAGGATTTCTTTAAGGATTGAAATCAAAAATTTGAAGGATTACGATTCTCTTTGAGACAACGAACTACCCGTTTCGATACGTTATGATGAACTGTAATTTATTACAGATTTGTCGTTACTTTTATAACAAAAACTCTGTGCGGCAAAACGACAATATTCTCAGGAAAGAAATATTGAATGAATGAATTTTTAGTTTTTCAAAAAAGCACCAGCAGCAGCAGCAAAAAAATCATAACAAATACAAAACGCCGCTGCCGAACAAAACATAAAAAGAATTTTAGTTATTGATTTTTTAATGTTGTGCGAATCTGAAATAAAATAAGCGCAAACGCACAATCACAAAAATACCAACTTTTGGCTGGCCGTTTTCGCACAAAAACGAAAAAAAACCAACAAGAATTCAGTGCGGAGTTATATTTTCTGCAGCGATACTTTGAAATATCAAAATCCGAGTTCGCATCATTGTCAATTGGTCTGTTTTTTGTGTGGGGTTTTGGGGGGGGCCTTTTTCTTCTGGTCAACTCAGACCAAAGTTAGTTTGAAGTGCGACATGTTGCATGCCACTTGTAAAGTTAAATGCTTTAATTCTTTTGCCAGCCGAATTCATCGCTTTACAATCTTGCCATTTAGATCTGGTGATCTTTTGTCATGGCGTTTTTTTGCTGGTGTTTTGGCTTTTAGGTGATGCCTTTTTGGCCATGTCGAATAAATATATCTAGTTTAGCTAAGAAGAGACATGACTTATTTCTAAACTAGGGAAGTCCGCCAAATGAAAAGTTGGAGCACGAAGTTATAAAAATCCTCCAACCAACTCCAAATAAGTCATGGCCAAAAAGGCCATTGTTAGTTGGCCCCGGAAATCCGACAATTAACATAAGGCGAATTATCTTCGAATCTCCTACAATTATGGAAGAATGATACCGAATGGAAGTACTAAAGCAGGGCCAGGCTCATGGCGAGACTATTTTTCTCCATATCCACAGAAAACTCCATTGAAAGTAATGCGAGCAAAGCGTTAAAAAATTTAGAAAGCACAAACCTGGATATTAAGAATTTCCCTTTTAGGAAACACGGCTAAATTTCTCCATTTCAATATTCTAAAAATTTGCAAAATAATTACTACGATTAAATAATTAATCCTTAACTACAGATGACCGGCATTTTTTAACGGGAATCATTTACGATTTTTCAATTTCGGGTATGACTGAATATATTGTGCTTCAAAAAAACTTGTGCGGTTTTATTAAAGTAAATAGTTTTAAAACTTTTTCAAGATCTTGATATACAAAATAAATATAACAGACATATATTAAACAAATTTTTCAATTGTTTTACAGAAATTTTATGTGTTTTATATAACCGGTAAAATTACCGGTGGTCTGTACTAACGTTCATATAATTTAACGTCTGTAGTTAAGGGTTAAAAAATTTGTTTTTATCTTAAAATATTTTTGAGAATATTCGATATATTTCTATAGAATATATTCTTAAAGAGCCTAAGATTTTTTCGATGGCAAATTAAAAAATGTTCTTAAAAATTTCACTTCCTATGTTCTGTCAGATTTTTTCAAGTCCACGTTTCATGGTCAGATGTTCTTTGAAAAAATATTTTATTTTTTAAATTTCCTTGGAATTTTTTAATCCACACGCCTGTTAGTCTGAAGGGCTTTGAAAACAAATTTTAAAACTTCATAATTGCTTATCACTTGCTTATCTCTTAATCCACGTTGGTTAGTCTGATGATTTTGCAAAAGTCTTAAAAAAACCCCAGACTGAAAGATTTCAAATATAAATAATGTTTGTTGGTCTTTCATTTTTTAATGGGCAATTGGAAGGCTTTCAGTACCTAAATTTAAAAATATGCTCCTTTTTTGTGCTGATGGTCTTCAAAAATCTAAAAAAGGTTGACATTTTACAAATCCCTTAGAAGATCCATGTTTGATTGTCTGTTGGTGTTTAAAATAATTCTTTTAAGAAACCCACTTTTGGTTTTCAGTTAGTACTCTGGAAAATCGACACAGATGGTTTTCTAAGTCTTCTCGCAAAAATTATGTAAAAAACCCCTATTGGTAGTCCTCTAGAAAGTCTACGCTTGGCTTTATCGGGATCCGAAAAGAAGTTCTTTAAAAAATTATCAGTTAGTACTCTGAAAATCCACGGTTAGTTTTCTAGGGCTACTCGAAAAAAACTTCTTTTGGTAGTCCTCTAGAAAGTTTACGCTTGCCTTTTTCGGGAACCGAAAAGAAGTTCTTTAAAAAAATTCTGAGATTGGTAACCAGTGGGTTTTTTTGGGATACAAAAATAAGTTCTTTATCCTTTAGAAATCCTTTTAAAAAATACTCTCAAAAATCAAAGTTTTATTTTAAAAAGGTTTGGTTTGATACTTTTTCAATCCTTCATAAATTTGTTTAAAATAAAGGATTGGTAATTGATAAATTAGGAACGAAATAATTTTTGGCCTTAAAAAAAAATTATCCGCGAAAATATGTCACTTAAAAAATTATCTTTAAACCGACCCTACTGGATCTTAAAAGGATCTTACAAAAGCCCATGTTTGGTAATTATTGGCTCTTCAAAATAATTCTTAAAAGAGATCTCTTGCGAAAACTTTTTTAAAAAAAATCAACGATTGAATGTCTAAAGTCTCTCCCAAAAATTCTTAAAAAGAATCCACGATTTGAAGTCTGTGGTCCCTTTAAAAAATATTCTTTTGGAGGTCTGAGATTTCTTGAAAAATATTCTTTAAAAAGTTCATGTTTGGCGCTGTAAGGTCTTCCGAAAAAAATATTAAAAAAATGGTAGTCCGGTTGGCTAAGGATTATGAAAAATGTTCTTAAAAATCCACGTTTGAAACTCAAAGGATGTCTAAAGTCTCTCACAAAAAATTCTTAAAAAGAATCCATGATTTGAAGTCTGTGGTCTCTTTAAAAAAATTTCGTTTAGAGGTCTGAGATCTCTTGAAAAATATTCTTTAAAAATTCCATGTTTGGCGCTGTAAGGTCTTCCGAAAAAATATTGAAAAAAATTATAGTCCGGTTGGCTAAGGATTATGAAAAATGTTCTTAAAAATCCACGTTTGAAACTCAAAGGTCTCAGGAAAAAATATTTGAAAAAATACACGTTTGAAAGTCTTAGTGTCCTTGGAAAAATAATCTTAAAACTCAACGTTTTAAACTCTAAGGTCTTCAAAAAAAATATTTAAAAAAATCCCCAACTGGTGGTGTAGTGTTCTTTAACGATGTAGTATTTTATGTGAACTACTCTATTAGTCATTAGTTGATAAAATATCATTTAGTGTGAACTTCCTTAATACCGATCAGCTGACTGTCTTTCTATAGTTTTAAGGATAGATTAAAAAAACAAAATCTTAGATTAAGTACCGTTATGTTCAGTACTCTAAGGCATCTAGACAAATATTCTTTAAAAGCCCAGGTTTGACGATCTTAGGGTCCTTGAACGAGTATTTAAAAAAATCCAGGATTCTTAAACAATATATGATTTAATGTGAACTACCCTATTAGTCTTTAGTTGATAAGATATCATTCAGTGTGCGCTACCTCAATGCCGATTAGATATACATCAGCTGACAAACATCTGTAGTTTTAAGGATTGTTATTGTTATTTTTAAGTATAGATGAAGTAAACAAAATCTAGGATTAAGTACCGTAATGTTTAGTATTTAAGGACGATAATTATGAAAATAAAGCAGAGAAGTTACAAAGAGTCTCAATTGGCTTTATCTCCCGCATTTACAAAGGCAACTTGTTGTGTCAGCAAATAATCAAAACATTTGCCAAACTGCGTTTAAAGCGAAATATTTTAAATTTTTCAATGTCAAACGTGAAGCCGTGTAAGGGTCCTTAAAAAAATATATAAAAAATTCCACGATTGCTGGGGTAGAGTTCTTAAACGAAGTTTATTTGATAAGATATCTTTTAGTGTGAACTACCATAATACCGATCATCTGTAGATCAGCTGACTAACATCTGTAGTTTTAAGGATTGTTATTTTTCAAGGATAGATGAAGTAAACAAAATCTAGGATTAAGTACCGTTATGTTTAGTATATAAGGACCACGGTAGAAGTATATAGGTAGGCTCATCTACACAGCTGCTGGGACAATGAACTGTCAAACCAATTTTTGAATTAAAAGTTTTGAATGAAAAATTATTTAAATTTGTAAAAATTGTTGAAAAAACGCGTATTATAATAACCTCCAAATGACGTCGTATTAGAAAACATATAAAATTTACTTATATTTGAAAAGACATTTAAAATTGTTTGACATATCAATGTTCCCAAGCGTTGATGCACCTAAATAATACGGCCAGACTGGCCAACATTTTTTTAGATTTTTCAATGCCAAAAAGTGACGTCAATTATTTAAAAAGATCCTAGGTTTAAAAAAAAAAAATAAATGAATAAATTTGTTTCAAAAATTCCACGATTGAGGGTGTAGTGTTCTCAAACGATGCGTGATTTGATGTGAACTGCCCTATTAGTCATTTGTTGATGAGATGTCATTTAGTGTGAACTTCCCCAATACCAATCATCTGTAGAGCAGCAGACAAGAAAGAAGAATATAGGTAGGCGCGTCGACACAGCTGCTGGGACAATGAACTGTCAAACCAATTTTAGAATTGAAAATGTTGAATGAAAAATTATTTAAATTTGTAAAAATCGTTGAAAAAACGCGTATTATAATAACCTCCAAATGATGTCGTATTAGAAAGCATATAAAAATTTACTTATATTTGAAAAGACATTTAATTTTTTTTGACATATCAATGTTCCCAAGCATTGATGCACCTACCTGTATTCTTCTACCACGATAAGGACGATAATTATGAAAATAAAGCACACAAGTTACAAGAGCCTCATTTGGCTGTATCACTTGGAAAAAGTAAATTTAAGCTGCCCGCATTTACAAAAGCAAGTGGTTGTGTATAAAAATAATCAAAAATTTATTTTTGAGCCAAGAGACGTTTTAATCGCCGGCAAATACGGCCAGACTGGCCAATATCTATTTAAGATTTTTTCAATGCCAAACCTGACATCAATTACTTAAAAAGGTCCTAGGATTTTAGAAAAAAAAAAAATAAAT